ATTGTCTTTGGTATTTTTGTATTATAAGTTCTGCGTGTTGGGCATCTATAGTAATCCTGACACTACATAATGCTGCTCCCACCTATCTATCCTCCCTAATACACAAGTATGTCCCGTCTAGGCCCTTACGCTCTGCTGAAGACTTACGTCTATCTTCTGTCCGTACTCCCACCTCTGATGCTCGCCTTCAAGATTTCTTGAGGGCAGCACCGTTCCTATGGAACTCACTTCCCTCCTCAGTGAGACGTTCATCGAATCTCAACTCCTTCAAAAAAATCATTAAAAAACCACTTCTTCATAAAAGTGTATCAATTAAACGGTTTATAGCTCCCGACTGATTCCTCTCTTGCAGCTGTCAGTCTAATACTATCCTTTCTGTAGCGGAACGCCAATATTAAATCCACGAATTCCGCTGGTTCAGGAAATAATCCACAGTCAAGCGCTGGAAACAACAAGGCAATATCCCAAATCTCCCAGTAACCGGACGAAACACAGTTCTGAGTCAACTGAGGTCTTTTATTTCAGCTCCACAATTTATACAAGTCCCCATGCAAGGGGTTTCCTGAGTCCCTTCCCAGGGGCATTCCCAGAGGGGACTACATGGGGGACTTATTGTACAAGCTATTTCTCCCATCAGGCACTGCTGCACGAGAGGGATCCTCCCACTGGAATATACCGTTAAGTGGATTATCCCTCCGTGCAGCAGAACCGACAATTCACATTAAAATGCATAACTTTTCGAATATGTAGTCTATTTGCACGAATGGACGTTCAGTAGATAGCTGGGGTCTGAGCGCATCATTCGTGAGATTACCGCTCAGATCCCAGCTAAAACAACCGAACGCCGCACGAAAAACACATTCATTGGAAAACATATTAAAAAGACCGATTGCCTTCCAGGGAATGAAATACCAAACGTCCCGGAACTCCCGAACGTCCTGGAGGCTCAGCGGTGTTCTCGCCGTTGAGTAGCCGTTTTTAGTACCATGCGCTCGACGACCTAACACCGCTGAGGGAACAAAGGATCCAAGATGGCCGACCGCCGCATGGTCGGTAGTCGAACGGCGGCCACCTAGGAGAGCCTCTAATTACCGATTGCAACATTGTTGCAATCGGTTAACAAGCGCCATACGCCTCTAAGTGTGTGGGCTATTATGTGTAGTGTTTTCGGTTCACGAACAGCCCGCCAAAGTGCCGTTCGTGAAACGAAAGGAAAACCTCATACAAATAGCTATCTGCATTCAGGGGATAGCAAATACAGGGAATACACAGTTATTACAGCCCGCATACATTGTACATAGATGAACACATATCCCCACCGACATATAGGCAACCCTTAAAGGTATAGTCTCTTGATATAGTCCAAGTGGCTAGGTTTGCCACACTTACCTTTTGTGTTACTTTACCCCACTCCTTCTAACATGTAAGCTCATTGCGCAGGGTCCTCAACCCCTCTGTTCCTGTGCAGGGCCGTCTATAATATGATTAGGTCCCTGGGTAATGCATTTTCTTGGAACCCCTGGGCCCTGCTCCTTCCCCCCCCATCCCTCTAATTACACCCAACCCGCAATCACACTGACAGACATACTGACACATACGCACACAGACAGACATATTAAAGCATTCTCAGATACATACTGACATACACATACACTGACACACAAATATATACTGGCAGACATATTGACACACATTCAGACATACTGACACACACACAGACACACATTCATGAATACACAGACACATAAACTGACAAATATACTGACACACACAGACGCATACACTGACAGACCTATTAACACACACACAGGCATACTGACACAGACACACAGGCAGACATACTGACAAACACACAGACATACTGACACACACACAGGCAGACATACTGACACACACACAGACATACTGACACACACACAGACATACTGACACACAAACAGACATACTGACAAACACACACACAGGCATACTGACATACACAGACACAGGCATACTGACATACACAGACACAGGCATACTGACATACACAGACACACACAGACATACTGACACACACACACAGACACACACAGACATACTGACATACACACACACACACATAGAGACATACACACACAGACAGACATAGTCACACACACAGACTTAGTGACACACAGACATACTGACATACACACACACACAGACAGACATAGACACACAGAGACATACTGACACTCACAGACATACATACACACATACTGACACACACACACAGACATACTGACATACACACACACACACACACACACACAGACAGACATAGACACACAGAGACATACTGACACTCACAGACATACATACACACATACTGACACACACACACAGACATACATTTAGCCAGTGGCAGGCTGAGGCAGATGGGAGTTCTCCTCTGGAACTCCCCTCCTCCCTGCCTTTCTCCTTCCGCGCGGTTGTGATCTCCGGTGGGAGGAAGTGACGCGCGGCACTCACTTCCTCCCAGCCAGCTGCCGAACAGGAAGGGGCCCGGTCGTGCTGTTTAAGTGTCACAGCGCCCGACCGGGCCCCTGCTGACACATGCCCACCGGGTGGCCCTTAGTGCATGGGTCACCCGGGGGCCTCCTTAGAGTGCGGCTGGTGTGGCTCTGTGCAGCCGCCCCGCAAGGTCCATGGGGGCTGCTCAAATCACGGGGCCCACGAGGCAGCTGCTCTGGGGCCCCTCAGGAGCAACTGGGCCCGGGGCAGTTGCCCCGTTTGCCCCGTGTTAAAGACGGCCCTGTTCCTGTGTGTCCAACTTGTCTGGATACAACTATTATTGCACTAGAAAAATCGCAGAGGCGGGCTACAAAATTTATAAAAGGAAATATATTAGCTATGAAGAAAGGTTAACACATTTAAACTTCTTTAGTTTAGAAAAACGTTGCCTGACAGGGGATATGGTAACATTATACAAATATATTCGGGGCCAATACAAACCATTGTGTGGAAATCGATTCAGAAACCGGACTTTACATAGGACACGAGGTCATGCATTTAGACTGGAAGAAAGAAGATTTTTTTTCTTAGGCAAATGAAAGGTTTTTTTTACTGTAAGAACAATAAGGATGTGGAATTCTCTGCCTGAAGAAGTGGTTTTATCAGAGCCCATACAGATGTTCAAACAGCAACGAGACGCATACTTGCAAAAACAGAATATTCAAGGATATACTTTTTCAATGTAGGGTAATAGCTGTTTGATCCAAGGATAAATCTGACTGCCATTCTGGGTCAAGAAGGAATTTTTTTCCTAGTTTGTTGCAAAATTGGAAGTGCTTCAAACTGGTTTTTTTTGCCTTCTTTTGGATCAAAGCAAAATACAAATGTGTGGAAGGCTGAACTCAATGGACGCAAGTCTCTTTTCAGTTATGTAACTATGTAACAACTACATGTTTGTTCATTTACCCACTGTAAATTGCTGCGGAATTTGTTGGCGCTTTATAAATAATATAATAATAATAATAATAACATAATAATAATGCTTGTTATATATAATTGATTCCATTATATCTACATATTTTTACTTATATGCCTCTATGTGGGCGACCATGTGCTTTTCTGGACATTCTGGTGTGGGTGGTCTCTCCCTTGTCTGACAGTAGCAGGTATTGTGACAATCTGTTATTCCTCTCAGTCATCTATCCTATTTTTGCAACGCTTGTTTCTTTTGCTTGGATATCTATGCTATTTTTGAAGAGAACATGTAATCTGTATCATATATTACGACTGCTTGAACCCTCGAGTACTTATGAGGGCTGCCATGACAATCTAATGCCATTTGTTTCTGTCCTTTTTTTATACCAATAAATGTGCACTTTTTTCATACTTTCCATATCCTCCATTTAATTATTTCTATGGACTATAGGGGTTTAACCCTGTGTGCGGACTATTGTATTTATATTGTGAGATATTTTTTATGATTGGGAAAGGTCCAGCACCAGAATCTAAACCTCATTAATCATATGATCTAAGGATTCCTATCTATGCACTAAGAATCCACCTGATACCAATGATACTACAAGACTTGGGAGTTTGGCTAGAGGATTGGGGAGCATTAGCCAACCGGGAAGTATTTTTACACTTGGAAAAATGTAAGGGGGAAAAATTACTTCCCCCTTGTATATTTTATTATTAACCTCAACCCACCGCCAGTGGATGGGAACTGGGAAGGAGACATTAGGTTACCCACGGTTATTAAAAATATTAGAGACTCCACCCACCTTGCAAGGATGGGGCTGAGAGGGCATTAGGTCCCCCTCCCCAGTTGTTAATGATAAATATCCAACCCACTGCTCATGGGTGGGAGCTGGATGGGTAGAACGGGTCCACCCCACATATTATAATAAGAACCCCCATCCGCTTAGCACCAGTAAGGGATGGGACTATGAATATACTAACTGGGAAGACACTAAGTCTTCCAAGTTTATTATCTTCTTAATGCATCTCACTATGAGGCCAGGGGAAGCACTAGAATAGCACAGGGGAACAGGAGGTGGACACTGACCTGAGTCGTGCCCCCCTGTAAATTACCCTAATCAGTCTTTTGTGACAAAAAGCAGCCACTGGCTGCTGGCTGTTTAGTGGACATGCACCCACCCACGGCAAAGGTTTAAAACCTCTCTTATACTTAGGATCATATGGACCCTTTGTAGGCTTTTTTTTTTTTTTAGCTATTGTCCCGCTGGTTGCTAGAGCTGCGGAGAAATAGTTTTTTTAAAAAAGTATCTTTTAACACCTTTTAACAGTATCTGTTTAGTCCATTATCCCCATTTACTGATTGTTAAAATTTATAATTAAGCTACAATAGATTGTGAAGCATATTGTTCCATCTTTAAGAAGAAATATATATCTGCTTTTGCAGGAATAGTGTAATACAAATAAACAACATGGTGTAAAAGTGTTTAAAAAATCCTGATTGTATCATTAATTTTATTTCTTAATTAACCACAAATGGCCTTCTTGCTTTCAGACTTACCTGGACAATTTAACAGAAGCTTTATACCATGAATACTCTTCCAAAGGAATTTTTATACAAAGCCTGACCCCTTTTTTTGTGGTTACAAACATGATAAGCCCAATGTGTACATTTTTTAAGAGAAAGTCTATACTGGTTCCTCTGGCTAAAGACACTGCCTATCAAGCTGTAAGGACCATAGGACTATGCCGAAGGACAACAGGATCCTCTGTTCACTCCCTCCAGGTAAGGAGAAGTGGAAGAAAAGTGAAAAATGACAGACATTCAGAAGAACAGTTTAGGTAAGGGCTTGGCAAAAGGTAGATTCTAGATGTTGTAAAACTGCAACTGCCATGATGCTTGCCAGTCTTTACACTGTAAAAACATCATGGAAGTTGCCGTTTTACCACATCTGGGCAATTAGCGTTTGTGCACCCTTGGTTTAGATCATATGCACATACAGTGACTAAATAATGCATCCCCGGCCCATGCGTTGTAACTGCCTGGGCCGCATTGAAGGGGCCCATCGGGTGGCCCATGCTATGTATTTCCAGGGGGCCTGGTCAGCTCTTTAACAGCGCGACCGTGCCCCCTCTGATGATGTCAGAAGCTGGGAGGAAGTGACTGCCCCGGTCACTTCCTCCCAGCAACCACCGGGAGCCAGGAGAGGAATGAGTCAGAGTGGGAACTCTGACTCCCATGATACTGAGCCACTGGACCCCAGGGAATAGTATGTGTGTCTGTATGAAACTCTGTATGTATGTATGTCTGTGTGTGTGTGTGTGTGTGTCTGTATGTATGTGCATTTATGTCGGTCTGTGTGTGTGTCTGTATTTATGTACGTGTGTGTATATGTCTGTGTGTGTCTGTATGTATGTCTGTCTGTGTTTGTCTGTCTGTATGTGTGTCTGTTTGTATGTATGTATGTGTATGTGTACTTGTATGTATGTGTGTGCGCCTGTATGTGTGGGTCTGTGTGTGTCTCTGTATATGTGTGTGTGTCTACATGTGTATCTGTTTGCATGTGTGGGAGGAGGGGGGTACGTATGGGAGGGGCACTGTAGACGTATGGGGGAGGGTTGCGGGGGGGTAGACGTTTAGGGGTGGCCCCAGGTCAATTTTCGCACAGGGCCCCGTGGTTATGCCTCTGTGCACATAACAGAGAATATACACTCATCAGCTCTGAATATGTGTGTGTGTATTCATGTGTATCTGTTTGCATGTGTGGGAGGAGGGGGGTATGTATGGAAGGGGCACTGTAGACATATGGGGGAGGGTAGATGTATAGGGGTGGCCCCAGCTCAATTTTCGCACCTGGCCCCATGGTTTCTAGTTACACCTCTGTGCACATAACAGAGAATATGCACTGATCAGCCACAACATTAAACCTGTCACACCTCTGGCTGCCACGCAGCAATTTCAGTCTCAGGTGTGAGTTGACTGGGGGTCCATGCCTCTTCTGACTGTTCTCCAGTTCCGGCAACAAGACACGCTCCTTACGTCGCAGGGTTGCCAGGTAACAATGGAAACCCTACGTGTAGTGCAGGCATCCTTAAAGTTACAGGACCCTACAAAACACTACATTTTTATTATAAAAATTGTAAGGGTAATAATTAGTGGACACTTCTTTTCCCTTTCCAAGTCACAACCCCTTGTGTGATTTGGAACATGGTGATGATGCTGTCCAATAGTGTTTAGGTTCACCCTATATATATTTTCCTCTTCCTATTTTTGCAAAGCTTGTTTCTTTTGCTTGGATATCTATGCTATTTTTGAAGAGAACATGTCATCTGTATAATATATTATGACTGCTTGAACCCTCAAGTACCTATGAGGGCTGTCATGACAATGTTGAGGTGTCTGTTGTCTGAGATGGCGTTCTGAGATAATTTGCATTCCTGTTACTGACCCAGCTTTGTTCTAGCTATTCTGTTTATCTGGTATCATTGATTCTCTGTGTGTTAGAGTCACCCTATCCTGACAAAAAACACTGACAGGCGAAGTGAAAAAGATTGATTATACTCACCAATATGGATACCACACTCTCCTGGGTCCCAGGACGCAACCGGGCCTGAGATTGGCCATTCCTCACAATGTGATTTGGCTTGACAAAGGCCCTGAGCCGTTGTTTCAATTTTGCTCCAATAAATCTGACCATTGGATTGTACTTGAGTGCCTGGATCATCATTACTTTTTGGATTATAAAGGCATCTGTAAAGCTGCAGTAGATATTAGGCAACAAGTGAACAGTCAACTCTTGAATTTCATGTGTTGGAAGCAGGAAAAATGGACAAGTGAAAAGCTCTGAGTGACTTTTACAAGAGCAAAATATTAATGGGTAGATGACTGGGTTAGAGCATTTCCAAAATGGCAAGTCTTGTGGGGTGTTCCCGATATGCAGTAGTAAGTACCTACCAAAAGTGGTGCAAGGAAGGACAACCAGCATCAGAGCCATGGGCATCAAAGCTTCCCTGAGGCACGTTGGGAGTGAAGTCTAGCCTGTTTGGTCCAATCACACAGAAACCTCACTGTAGGTCACTTTGCTGAAAAACTTAATGTTTACCATGATAGAAAGGAGTCAGAACACACAGGCCGGTCAGAGTGCCCATGACAACCACCGACCATACCTTCAATGAGGACGTGAATGTCAGAACTGGACCACGGAGCAAGGTTACCTGGTTTCATGAATCACGTTTTCTTTTAGATAAGGATGGCTGGGTGAGTGTGCATTGTTTGCCTGGGAAAGAGATGGCAGCAGGATGCACTATGGGAAGAAGGAAGGCTGTCAGTGGGATTGTAATGCTCTGGGCAAGGTTCTGCTGGGAAACCTTGGATCATGGCACTTATGTGGATGTTATTTCGACACGTACCACCTATCTAGAGATTTTTAGACCACTCCATGACAATGGTGTTCCATAATGGCAGTGGTCTTTTTCAGCAAGATAATGCACCTGTACACTGCAAAGTGTTGGCTTTGCCTCCAGATTCCCCAGATCTCAATTCGATTGAGCATCTGTGGGATGTGCTGAAACAACAAATCCAATCCATGGAGGCCCCACCTCACAATTTGTAGGACTTAGGAATTAAATTGATCTGCTGCTAATATTTTGGTGACAGATACCACAAGACACAAGTCCACACCTCGACACATTAGAGCTATTTTGGATATTAGACAGGTTGTTTTCATTTTGTGACTGATCAGTGTAAGGATATGAAGAAATTGTGTGAGAATTAACTCATAGACAGGACTCCTGTCTAAGCTCCATGTGCATTTCATGGTGTCCACAATTAGTTGATCGGATATAGCCCAGGAATTATGTAATATATGAATTTCAATTAAGAAATAACTTGTTTTCTGTCTAAATGTTTTAAATCGGCATAGTTATGCAGTCCTAGGAAGTTAATTGGTGCATGGGGGCTGTGAAATTGAATGTTGATTATGAATTGGAGTCTTGGTTTGTAGAGTTCCAAGCAGTAGAGGAATGCAATCAGTGGCACCTTCCGCTGGAAAAGTAGTCTGCTGGAGGATTAAGGGGCTTGTACTTGTGTATGAAGTGCTTTGCAGAGGAGGTACAGGGCCCCCTTTAGGATTTAGGGTGCCTTCTATTCAACACACAATGCAATCTTTCATGATACACTCACCCAGTATCCACAGTACTCCCCAGTACCTTGAAGAATAAATATAAAGTAACATATATTAAACAGTCACTATTTGAAAAACAAGGACATTTAACTTTATTTCATTTAAAGAGGAACTGTGACTTTCCAGGATTTTTTAAAATGCTTACTTATCCCCTATTTTAAACAAATGTGTGTTTGTGAGATCTGAAATATAGAATTAAATGTAGACATGTACACTTACTTTATCCTGCAATGGAATATGAGAAATAAAACCATGTTTCATTTTGTCCTTCTCATTTTCAGTGTTTTACCCTGTCTGGTCTGAATTATAGGGACACTAGAATCACAAAAACAACGTTAGCTTTATGAGGCAGTTTTAGTGTATAGACCATGCTTCTGCAGTCTCACTACTCCATTTTCATTTAGGAGTAAAATCACATTGTTTCTCATTTTGTAATCCAATACTTTCCAAAGGGAAAGTTTGAAGATGCGTGCGGCACTCACCGCGCAGGCACATTAGGTTTATATTCCTGACATCATAGGAAATCCAACTCTGTATCTACAGTGTTAGAAAGTCTCGTTTGGAAAGAAATGTAGAAGATAGAAACAAATTATGTACAACAAAGTGACCTATAGTTACCTTGGATAGAATATAAAAATAAAAACCTATCCTAATGATATCAAGTGACGAATTGTGACAAACTGCCCGAGATGGGGGATTCTATGCACATCACCGTAATCTTAGTTATGTTTTTGTTTTCTTATTTGTCCTTGTCACATATTCACACACTACGGGATCTCTGTTATTTTAATGTAGTTCAATGTCCTGTAAAAATATGTAAAAAAAAAAAAAACCTAACAAACTAATAAATACATTTTAAGCAAAAGATTAAAAAGGATTCATCACCCTACTAAATAATCTTTATTTATGTAGTGTTTGTAGAGAGATTACCAGTTGCATTTACAAAGAGAAAAGTGGGTGAATTAATTACCACAAAAATAGTAGTACACAGTGTGTCACTTCTATCATGTGTTCTATATTAAATTAAAAGCTTTTAAGTAGCTGGAGTGTGTTATTATAATCTCCTTATGATCTTAAAGCTAGCCCATATATTGAATATCTCTTTGAGATAGATAAATTGTGCTGGGACATACAAAATCTCACCTATAATTTCCTTATAGCAACACCAGGTCATGATCAACTAGGTATCAATGTACATATGTCACAGATATAAGCTCAGGGTAATCTAAGATCAAAATGTGAAGAAACAGAGGAAATATCAAGAAATACCTCTGCGTCCAGGTCTAAACCTGGGACCTACTCAAACACAGGATGTATCCCGTCCCGCCTCCTTGGCTGAGATCATCAGAATGGACTATCATAAACAACGCAAAGTTTTCCTATGGGAAAGCATTTTGATTGGCTAAGATCGTCAATTCTGATGATATCAGTCAAGGAAGCGTATCAAGGCAAAGCCAGCAGCAGTGGACTAGTGCGGCACTGAAAATAAAGTGAGTTTACACTATATTTAGGGGAATAAGGGGGCTAAATAGTGTTTTTAGAAGTATAGGTCCAGGAATACACATTTGTGTTCCTGAGCCTATAGTGTTCCTTTAAATGAAAAGCTTCTAAGTAGCTAGAGTATGTTAATATATTTTCCTTATGATCTTAAAGCTAGACCATATCCCGTGTATCCATAATCAAATAACATCACAGGCACCTCTGTCTCCAGATATATTGCCAGAGACCTATGGAATAGAGTTGAGCGAACCCGGTCTGTAAAGTTCAGGTTCATACCGAACATTACGGTTTTTGGACCCTGGACCCGAACACGGACATATCACTGTATGTTCGGGTTGGAGTTCAGAGTTCGGCAATTTAATGGAGCATTTTTTAAAGGCTGCAGGGCAGCCAATCAACAATCGTTTGACATGTGTGCCCTTAGAAGCCATCACAGCCATGCCTACCAGGGCTGACACAGCTCAAGGTCTGGGCCCCCCGGTGGCTGGACCCGAGTCCGCCCAAAGTGCTGCCCCCCCTTGAGTCTGCCCACAGGGATGCAGTGTCTGTACTGATTCTGGTGTGTGTATATTGGATGTAGAATGTGTGTAGTGGATGCAGAGTTCGTGTGTAAAGTGGATGCGGTGTGTGTTTAACAGATGCAGTGTGTATAGTGGATGCAGATTGTACATAATGAATTGTGTAATGTGTTAGGTGTATATTAGATGCAGAGTATATGTTTGTGCAGTGGATGTAGTGTGTGTTTATAGTGAATGCAGAGTGTGTGTGTGTTTGTGTAGTGGATGTTGTGTTTGTGTGTATTAAATGCGATGTGTATAGTGAATGCAGAGTGTGTGTGTTGTGTAGTGGATGTAGTGTGTGTGTAGTGAATGCAGAGTGTGTGTAGTGGATGTAGTGTTTAGTGAATACAGTATGTGGATGCAGTGTGTGTGTGTGTATTGTGAATGCAGAGTGTGTCTTTGTGTAGTCGATGTAGTGTGTGTGTATATTGACTAGACATAGGCGTGCGCACGGGGTGTGCCGGGAGTGCCTGGGCACACCCTAATGCCCGCGGCACGCCTATGTATATTGAGACCGGCAGGGGAGATCTCAGGATCTCAGGATCTCCCCTGTCGGCTCATGCAGAGCCGGCGCTATCCGAGCGCCGGCTCTGCTCTCAGCCTCCCTCCCCACTGACCCACATGCAGGGAGGGAGACAGGAGAGGACCCGGCGGAGCTCTTGCCGGCAGCTCCGCCGGGTTCCTCTTGCGAGATATGAGCGTTGCCACGGCAACGCTCAAATCTCGCGAGAGTGAACTCTAGCCCCACAGGGGGCTAGAGTTCACTCTCCACTGGACCACCAGGGATCACAGCAGCAAGGATCCCCTCCTCCACTGGACCACCAGGGAAGGAAGCAGCAGCACGATCCCCCCTCCCTACAAAAGGTAAGAAGGGAGGGGGGATAGCAAATAATGTACCCCCACCTCCACCCCCCACAATCACCCACCCACACACATACAACACACACACATACAGCACACACACATTCAGCACCCACAGACATACACAGCACACACATTCAGCACCCACAGACATACACAGCACCCACACACACAGCACCCAGCACCCACACACATACAGCACCCACAGACATACAGCACCCACAGACATACACAGCACCCACACACATACAGCACCCACACACATACAGCACACACACACATACAGCACACACACATACAGCACACACACAGCACACACACATACAGCACCCACACACATTCAGCACCCACAGACATACACAGCACCCACACACAGCACCCACAGACATACAGCACCCACACACATACACAGCACCCACACACATTCAGCACCCACAGACATTCAGCACCCACATACATTCAGCACCCACAGACATACAGCACCCACAAACATACACAGCACCCACAGACATACACAGCACGCACCCATACACAGCACCCACAGACATACACAGCACCCACACACATACAGCACCCACAGACACACACAGCACCCACAGACACACACAGCACCCACAGACATACACAACACCAACACACATACAGCACCCACACACACATACAGCACCCTCACACACAGCACACAAACAGCACCCTCACACACACACAGCACACTAACAGTACCCTCACAAACACAAACAGGACCCTAACAAACACACATACAGCACACTACCAGTATCCTCACACACAAACAGCACCCTCACACACAGTACATTAACAGCATCCTCACAAGCACGCACACACAAACACCCTCCCCCACATAGCACACTACCAGCATCGTCACACACACATCACACTAACAGCACCCTCACACAGCACACACACACACACAGCAGTGTGTGTATGTGTGTGTATATATATATGCGGCGTGTGCTTGTGCTTTAGGGTGCACACCCTAATGCAATAGGATGCGCACGCCTATGTGACTAGATAGTGTGTTTGTGTAAGTATTTAATGTGTGTATAGTGACTGCAGACTGTGTGTTTGTTTGTGTAGGGAATGTAGTGTGTGTAGTGACTGCAAAGTGTGTGTGTATGTACTGCATAGTGTGGCTTTGTGTTACGAAGTAGTGTGTGCAGTGTTTGCAGAGTGTGTGTTTGTGTAGTGGATGTAGAGTGTGTAGTGACTGCAGAGTGTGTGTGTGTGTTTGTGTAGTGACTGCAGAGTGTGTGTTTGTGTTAGGAAGTAGTGTGTGTAGTGACTGCAGAGTGTGTTTGTGTAGTGGATGTAGTGTGTGTAGTGACTGCAGAGTGTGTGTTTGTGTAATGATGTTGTGTGTAAATTTTAGTGAATAGTGTGTGTAAATGTTAGTGAATAGTGTGTGTGTGTGTAAATGTTAGTATATAGTGTGTGTGTGTGTGTCTGTGTGTGTAAATGTTAGTGTATAGCGTGTGTGTGTGTAAATGTTAGTGAATAGTGTGTGTGTAAATGTTAGTGTATAGTGTGTAAATGTTAGTGCATAGTGTGTGTGTGTAAATGTTATTGTATAGTGTGTGTAAATGTTAGTGTATTGTGTGTGTAAATGTTAGTGACTAGTGTGTGTAAATGTTAGCGTATAATGTGTGTGTGTAAATGTTAGTGAATAGTGTGTGTGTGTGTAAATGTTAGTGCATAGTGTGTGTAAATGTATGGGGCTGCAAAATGTAGGGGGAAAAGCCTACACTGAGCAGTCCGGGCCCCCCAGGACCGCCGGGCCCATGACAACCGTTATGGTTGTCATGCCCTGATGGTGGCCCTGATGCCTACTAATGGCATGGCTGTGATTGGCCAGTGCAGCACGTGACCCAGCCTCTATATATAAGATGGAGTTGCGTAGCGCCGCACGCATTTAAGCTCTTATTAGTGTAGGGACAGGATGCTGCCGCTTTCAGGGACAGCTAAGGAAAGAATTCTGCAAACTAGTACATTAGTGGGGTGCATTTCATATCTGAGAGTCAAATAGAATCGTCAAATACTGCTGTCACATTGCAGTTTTAAAACTTAAAATTTTTGGGGTGCTAAAAAGTACATTAGTGGGGTGCACTTCATATCTGAGAGTCAAATAAAAGCGTCAAATACTGCTGTCACATTGCAGTATTAAAACTTAAAAATGTTTGGGTGCTAAACTGCTAAATAGTATTTTAGTGGGGTGTCCTTCATATCTGAGAGTTAAATAAAAGCGTCAAATACTGCTGTCACATTGCAGTATTAAAACTTAAAAATGTTTGATGGGGCGTGGCCTGGAGATCAATCGCGGCGGTCGCATGCTGCAGTAGCTCCGGCTACACAGGCCTTTATATTAGCACCACAAACCCACAAACCCACCAAGTACCTGCAACAATGTCCAAACAGAAGGGCAGACGGCACACCGACAAGGGAGACGGGACGAGCTTCTTCACCGCCCGCACGGCACGGCAAAAAATGGCGGGAACTCAAGAGGAGGCCCAAGATGGCCCAAGATGGCGACGATCCTGCCGATATCCCATCCCCAGCCACAGAAGATGCCCCAGTAACTACAAAGGATGCTGGACACCATGCATGCCAAGCTGCAAATCACTCTCCAGACTTCCCTGAAAGACATAAGGTCAGACATCCGGGAGCTGGGGGAACGCACTTCCACACTGGAAGAAAAAATGGCGGACCACGCCGAAGCATACAATGACATGAGAGCCACCATGGAAGACATACAAAACAATATGGCAACCTTTGAAGCCAAAATTGCCGACATAGAGGACGCAATAACCTCAGATTGAGAGGGATAGCGGAATCCGTTGGGACGGTGGACCTGCATGCCCACCTACAGGGCCTATTCAAAGCCCTGGTACCGGACGTACACCAAGACATGTTGCTGCTAGACCGCTACCACCGCATGCCTAAACCGCGATTCCTAACCACAGATACACCGAGAGACGTGCTGGTGCGGCTACATTACTTCCACACCAAAGAAAACATCATGAGAGCAAGCAGGCAACGTCCAAACCTACCACCTCCATACCAAGGAACGGCGATATATGCAGACATCTCAGTGGCGACAAGAAAAACCTTCGCTGGCATCACAGAACAACTGAGAATAGACAAGAAACCCTACAGATGGGGATTCCCAGTCAAGCTCTTAATCACCAATGAAGGGAAAACTACCACCATTATGACCCCGGAGGCCGGAGAGCGGGCCCTCAGAGACTGGGGCCTACCGCCGCCACGGGACCAACACAGCGCAACAGAAAGAGACAGGCTCAATCCGTCGTGGAAGAGAGTCTCTAAGAACTGACTGAGAGAACCCACATGGGTCACAAGCAGTGGCAAGTACCACACAAACTGTTTTGGGGACTGATATAATAACGGGGGGAACAGCTTACGCAGGGTCAGGGGTTAACGAGGGCATCCCACCCAAACCCCAACACACAGACAGCCACGCTACACGGAATGACTGAGGTGGCAAGACTGTAAACAGAGGCCCAATGCCAGGCACAGAAGGCCTAAGATAGGGGCAAACTCAACACCATAACGAGCAAAATACAAGTCCAACAGACTGAATCGCACAGGCATGGAAGCACACCACTTCCTCCCCCACTGGGGATCACACGGCACTATGTTTTACCATTCATGTTTTAGTTACCATGTTTAAACTGTTTAAATTTTTTGTTTTCTATGTTTCACATTGTATGATTACCATGCCAAGGTTCCGCCAGGCAATACGGCGAGCGTACATACAGAGAATTGAAAACCAGGTCCACCAGGGAGACACCACCCAAGTTGAGTAAGCTGGGAAGGGGGGTACTCCCGCAAACAAGAAAGATGACGATACAGCCAACCGAAACCCCAAGGTACAACCCACCATGAAAATATACACACACAACACAAAAGGCCTTAACCACCCATCTAAAAGGAATCTGCTCCGCAGAGACCTTAACTGACACAAACCGGCAGTAGTGTGCCTCCAGGAAACCCACTTTAAGACAAACGCACATGCACCACTATTCTTGCAAGACTATCCCTACCAATACCACGCCACACACACAAGCAAATCGAAAGGGGCCTCCATACTCATTAGCAAGGACATAGCATTTACCCTCACCCACCTAGAGATAGACGAAGGGGGGAGATATGTAATAGTGGTAGGAACATTCAACAATGTGGAATACACGATAACAAACATATATGTTCCAAACCAGGAGCAAAGGAACTTTATACACAAAATCATCAAAAAAGTAGACACGGCACAAAGGGGAATAGGAATCATATGTGGAGACATCAACCACGTAATGGACCCCACAATAGACACCACAATAGCCCCCAACGCTCCAAGAATGAAACCACTCAGGAGACAGAGCAAGGCAATACGCAAACTACTTCACGAAAACCACTACTATGACATGGAGGGCAACACATGTGGCACACAATACCTATTCTAGGATAGACAGTATACTGTAAAAAGGCCAACACTTAGAACAGGTTAAAGACTGCTCCATAGAACAGATCACTTGGTCAGATCACGCCCCAGTAGTAGCGACCCTAGCTGACCTATACGAATCCTCTCACAGGAGCCCATGGAGGCTTAACGAGTCCCTCATCGCAGACCCAGAATTCACAAAAACGGTAGAAAAAGAATTAACACACTACTTAATTGAAAACAACACAGAACACATCCCCCATAACACAATATGGCAGGCCCACAAATCGGTGATCAGGAGGACGCTAATAAAGAGAGCAGCCTTCCTAAAAAGAAAAGCACAAAAACAAATGAGAGAGTGGCAAAAAGAACTCCAGGACCTCACAAATCAGAACCAATCTACCCCAACACAAGAACTAAAAACCTGCATCATGGGAATAACACGAGAAATACACAAACAAGCCTTAGAACAGACTGGCCACTACTTATGTAAGCTTAAAGCGACCCATTACTCACAAGGAAACAAGGCAAGCAAACTAGTAGCGCAACGCCTCAAAGCGACACAAATAAAACACAAGATAGCATACCTCACCACGGAAGCAGGACACAAAGTAACAGCACCCAGGGACATAAGCAACAATTTCGCTAAATATTACACTTCTCTATACAACCTAGCGGACGACCCACACACACATCAACCACAAACACAGGACATAAAAACCTATCTAGACACAATACAACTACCCACTTTCACAACTCAACACCAACAAGCACTAAATGCCACAATAACACAAGAAGAGGTAACAACAGCCATCCTCGGCCTGCTGTCGGGCAAATCCCTAGGCCCGGACGGCTTCGCCAACGGTTACTACAAAAAATGTCATAACATCCTAGCACCGCACCTAACGAACGCCTTCAATGAAGCCACCCGCCTCCAAAAACTACCCGCCGAGACACTGCTGGCACACATTATCACACCCACATGCCCACAAAACTTCCGCCCCATATCCCTATTGAACACAGATGCCAAGCTTTACGCGAAAATCTATGCGCAAAGACTGGGCTCCTTATTACCACACATTATACACACAGACCAAGTAGGGTTCATCAAAAATAGGCAAGGAGGCGACAACACTAGGAAAGTCATGAATATCATACACAGCGCCCAACGCATGAAGGTGGGGAGTGTGCTGTTGTCGCTGGATGCGGAGAAGGCCTTTGACCGGCTGGGCTGGGAGTTCCTGGAACAAGTCCTTCGAAAATTCGAGGCACCAGAGGGCTTCCTCTCAGCGGTCAGGGCACTATATAGCGCTCCCACCGCACAGGTCTTAAACGCGGGATTCGTATCGGAGCCCCTCACCATAACCAATGGCTCTCGCCAGGGGTGCCCCCTCTCACCACTACTATATGTGATGGCCTTGGAGCCGCTGGCGGCGGCCATACGGCAAAACACATCCATCCATGGAGTGGCAATAGGGGACAAGGAATACAAGGCGAACTTATTCGTCGACGACATCCTGCTAACCCTTACCCAACCACACATGTCTCTACCAAATTTGATGGCCACTATAACGGAATACGGAAAACACTCATACTACAAGCTAAACATAAACAAGACACAAGCCATAGGCGTGGGGATCCGGGAAGACACATTAGAGAGGCTCAAAGCCACTTTCCCCTTTGATTGGAGGTCTGACCACTTGACGTTTTTGGGCATAAAAATCCCACCGAATCTAAGCAAACTCCTAGACAAAAACTACATAGCGCTCATGAAAGAGATTGCCACCACACTGGAATCCTGGACAGGGAAGTACCTATCCTGGGTGGGGCGACTGTCGGCGATCAAAATGATGCTGCTACCTAAGCTCCAATACTTACTACGCACCCTCCCGATACAACTGCCAAAAACGTACATATCCTCCATGCAGAGACTGTTTAACCGCTTTGTATGGGCTAATAAGAGACCTAGGGTAGCTTCAGGGATCCTACAACAATCGGTCATGAGGGGGGGACTAGGCCTACCATGCATAAAGACATACTATAGAGCAGCCCAATTAACAGTAATCAAAACAGCCACAGCGGAGGGGGAACCATTACAATGGGCCCAGATAGAAGCACACTGGGCAAACAAACAAACAATATGGGACCTCTTCTGGCTCCCAGGATCCCTACGTCCTAAACTTTTCCAACCCCTACCAACCACAGCCCTAACCCTAAAACACTGGGAAGAGCAGAAAGCTGGGGGGAGAGACCACGGAGCCATAAAAGGACAAGCCCCAATCTCATGCCTGGCGGTGGGCATCCCTTCCCTTGACGTCAAAATGTGGAAGGAAGGGGGCTGCACCACGATCAGCCACTTATATAGAGACAATAGCCTGATACCCTTCCTAGAACTCCAAACCCAATATAACCTGCCCAGCAAGGCACTGTTCCCCTACCTACAAATCAAATCCCTACTCGCAGGAATCAAACTACAACAAGATGAGCCTTTAACAACACATAAGGTAGAAAACCTCTGCCTAACAGACAGGCCCCCGAAGAAAATACTCTCAACACTATACACGGCCCTAATGGAGGATCAGGCAGAGATCGAAAAGAGTTTCCAAAAAGCATGGCACACGGAACTGGGGAAAACACTGGGAACAGATGTATGGAAGCGGGCCTTCGCAATACATAAGGGAAACACACGGTGCACCACACACCTAGAAACCATACGAAAGCTACAATACAGATGGTACATGGTGCCAGAAAAATTAACAACAATATACCCCAACACACCCAGTATATGCTGGAGGTGTGGAGACACGGAGGGCTCCATGAGCCACATATGGTGGTCATGCACAAAAATTAGGCAATACTGGGGGGAGGTGGGAAAAATTGCAGAAGACATATTAGATAGACCATGGCCTCTAACTATAGAACAAAGCATATTATTCATGCTACCAGCCGCAATAAGTAAAACTGAGGAAAAGCTTATATTTCACCTGCTCATAGCAGCAGTAACACTCATGGCGCGGGCATGGAAGTCCCCAACAGCGCCTACAAAAGAGGCTCTCCTAGATCAAATCTCCCTAAACTGGAAATATGAGCTGATGGCAAACAAACACTTAGGAACGCAAAAACATACGGAAACAGCAGGGAGGCGTTGTCAGGAGTACATACAAGAACAATAAGCTCACCTTAAAACCACCAAGAGAGAGCGACACCACCAGGAAGGGGGGAGTGAAGGCCCAACAAGAGAAAACCCACGGCAACCAGCAAAAAAACAACACCAGAGCAGGGCCACATAACAGAGCAACTAACACGACAGGGCAATCAAAGCAACACAAGTAAGAAGAAACGAGCCCCAAGAGGGCAACACGTGATACAAAAGAGTGAAGGGGGGAAAATCACCTGGGAAAAAGAGGGAAGCGAAGGGGGGACGAACTCTGAGGGAACCTATCAATGTACTGTACAAACCCTATGCTGTAACAAAATGTCCCTGCACTATCCCGTTATATTCTGTACCCTGGCGAGCAGGCGCCAAAAAGCTAACCAATGTGAAACATCAATAAACATATTTTCAAATTGAAAAAAAAAAAAACTTAAAAATGTTTGGGTGCTAAGCTGCTAAATAGTATTTTAGTGGGGCGTCCTTCATATCTGAGAGTCAAATAGAAGCGTCAAATAGTGTGCTTTCAGTGCAGTTGTAAACATTCTGATTGTTTTGGTGCTGAACTGCTAAATAGTACATTTTGGAGCCTGCTCTTCATATCTGAGAGTCAAATAGAAGCGTCTAATAGTGTGCTTACAGCGCAGTTGTAAAAATTCAAATTTTCTGGGTGCTAATCTTCTAAATAGTACATTTTGGGGCATGCACTTCATATCAGAGTCAAATAGAAGCGTCTAATAGTGCGCTTACATCACAGTGGTAAACATCCTCATAGTTTTGCTGCTAATCTGCTAAATAGTACATTTTGGGGTCTGCTTTTCATATCTAAGAGTCAAATAGAAGCGTCTAATAGTGTGCTTATAGCTCAGTGGTAAACATTCTAATTGTTTTGCTGCTAATCTGCTTAATAGTATATTTTGGGACCTGCTCCTCATATCTGAGAGTCAAATAGAGGCGTCTAACAGTGTACTTACAGCGCAGTTGTAAAAATTCTAATTTTCTGGGTGCTAATCTGCTAAATAGTCCATTTTGGGGCCTGCACTTCATATCTGAGAGTCAAATCGAAGCGTCTAGTAGTGTGCTTACAGCGCACTGGTAAAAATTCAAATTTTCTGGGTGATAATCTGCTAAATAGTACATTTTGGGGCATGCTCTTCATATCCAAGAGTCAAATACAGGGAGTGCAGAATTATTAGGCAAGTTGTATTTTTGAGGATTAATTTTATTATTGAACAACAACCATGTTCTCAATGAACCCAAAAAACTCATTAATATCAAAGCTGAATATTTTTGGAAGTAGTTTTAGTTTGTTTTTAGTTATAGCTATGTTAGGGGGATATCTGTGTGTGCAGGGGACTATTACTGTGCATAATTATTAGGCAACTTAACAAAAAACAAATATATACCCATTTCAATTATTTATTATTACCAGTGAAACCAATATAACATCTCAACATTCACAAACATACATTTCTGACATTCAAAAACAAAACAAAAACAAATCAGTGACCAATATAGCCACCTTTCTTTGCAAGGACACTCAAAAGCCTGCCATCCATGGATTCTGTCAGTGTTTTGATCTGTTCACCATCAACATTGCGTGCAGCAGCAACCACAGCCTCCCAGACACTGTTCAGAGAGGTGTACTGTTTTCCCTCCTTGTAAATCTCACATTTGATGATGGACCACAGGTTCTCAATGGGGTTCAGATCAGGTGAACAAGGAGGCCATGTCATTAGATTTTCTTCTTTTATACCCTTTCTTGCCAGCCAAGCTGTGGAGTACTTGGACGCGTGTGATGGAGCATTGTCCTGCATGAAAATCCTGTTTTTCTTGAAGGATGCAGACTTCTTCCTGTACCACTGCTTGAAGAAGGTGTCTTCCAGGAACTGGCAGTAGGACTGGGAGTTGAGCTTGACTCCATCTTCAACCCGAAAAGGCCCCACAAGCTCATCTTTGATGATACCAGCCCAAACCAGTACTCCACCTCCACCTTGCTGGCGTCTGAGTCGGACTGGAGCTCTCTGCCCTTTACCAATCCAGCCACAGGCCCATCCATCTGGCCCATCAAGACTCACTCTCATTTCATCAGTCCATAAAACCTTAGAAAAATCAGTCTTGAGATATTTCTTGGCCCAGTCTTGACGTTTCAGCTTGTGTGTCTTGTTCAGTGGTGGTCGTCTTTCAGCCTTTCTTACCTTGGCCATGTCTCTGAGTATTGCACACCTTGTGCTTTTGGGCACTCCAGTGATGTTGCAGCTCTGAAATATGGCCAAACTGGTGGCAAGTGGCATCGTGGCAGCTGCACGCTTGACTTTTCTCAGTTCATGGGCAGTTATTTTGCGCCTTGGTTTTTCCACACGCTTCTTGCGACCCTGTTGACTATTTTGAATGAAACGCTTGATTGTTCGATGATCACGCTTCAGAAGCTTTGCAATTTTAAGAGTGCTGCATCCCTCTGCAAGATATCTCACTATTTTTGACTTTTCTGAGCCTGTCAAGTCCTTCTTTTGACCCATTTTGCCAAAGGAAAGGAAGTTGCCTAATAATTATGCACACCTGATATAGGGTGTTGATGTCATTAGACCACACCCCTTCTCATTACAGAGATGCACATCACCTAATATGCTTAATTGGTAGTAGGCTTTCGAGCCTATACAGCTTGGAGTAAGACAACATGCATAAAGAGGATGATGTGGTCAAAATACTCATTTGCCTAATAATTCGGCACTCCCTGTAGAAGCGTCTAATAGTGTGCTTACAGCGCAGTGGTAAACATTCTAATTGTTTTGCTGCTAATATGCTAAATAGTACCTTTTGGAGCCTGCTCTTCATATCTGAAAGTCAAATAGAAGCGTCTAATAGTGTGGTTACATCGCACTTTCAAAAATTATAATTTTTTGGGTGCTAAATAGTAAATTTGCGGCCTGCGGTGCATTTCTTACAGTCTAATAAATGTAAAAAAAAAAAAAAATAGTTGACTGTTGGCAGTTACATTGTCACCTGACATAAAACATCTGTTAGTTTGGTGGGTGAACGCAAAGAATGAGGAGAGCGTCAAATAAGGGACATGGCCCTGGTCGTGGTGCTTCTGGTGTTGATGGAATCCCTGCTGCAAAGAGAGGACGTGGTCGATCTGTGCCAGCTACACGCACAAGTGGAACACCTTCCTCATGTGTGAGTACGCGACATGTATGTAAGTAGTGGGGAATTGCTATGCGGCATAATACATAAACCAACCCAAATCCTCCCCCTACTAAAATAAAGACAGACAACGTAGTATGGATGAAACAGGCCACAGCATTTATTATACCATATGACAAATACTGTATGACACCTCCATAATTTATTTAATAAATTTCTCTTCATTTCTGTAACCAAACATTAAACATGAATAACCATAAATTAACATATATGCATATAACTTAACACATAGTGTCATACAGCGAATCCAACCGTCCTTGCCAATAAACTGACCATGCGCCTATGTGCGACTTCCTCTCACCTCCCCCCTCGTCATAAAAATCATTTCCTTCCAATGCCTGCCATCAGCCGACCTTATCCATGCTCGATGGGCGTGACACCCCAGGTAACCTAAGGTTAACCCTTTGAAGCAGGGGAGGTTGAGACCATAAAAACTTGTTCATCTCATTCCATATACTTAAACGTAACCCCTCAAACTCAATTGGCAAGGACATATCCCCGCCACAACCCTGCTGTTTTATGCCTAAAATCAGCAGGGGGCCCCACCACATGGCCTGTTCCACCACTTCCTGGAGCGCTAGATTAACATAGGCCTAGTCCGACCTCCATCAAGCGCACCCATCCCCTCAAGATAACTAGGCCGTGTCCCGCTCAAAACCCTAAGGCGAACTGGAATCCCCCAAGCCCCCAAGACAAACTTAGAAACCCATCTCGCCCAATTTCTGACGGCAGTGCACCAGGGCGAAAACAACTCCGGAGACCAGCAGGGTGAACCTAAGGAACCTGCCACCCTGACTCCCCATTTGCGTCTTTGAACTATTGGCGCAGGCACGCCAAGCTTGGCGCCGTCTGTGGCCGCCCCTAACCGGAATGAATGCTCCCTGAACTCCCCACCATCCTCACCCGGGAAGTTGGAAGGAATCGGCCAACCGCAACCGACCGTTAAATCAAACGACCACATCTCCACTGCCCTATAATTTGGCCCCTTGGAGCCTCCGCCCGAAGTACGTCCCATAGTGAACAAGATATAGCATTGGCCATAACAATGTGAATACCCAGGCAAACCCCACCTGATCAGACACCTCCAGACTCAAACAGCGCCGAGCTAGGCGCTGCAACCAGAGTCCCACCGGTGTAGAGGGTACTGTCACATGACAAAGACAGCCCGCACCACCCCACGATTGTCCCAAAGTAAGAACTACCCATCTTTTAGCGAGTTGGGTACCCCACACCTAACCTGCCACCAGAATGGGGAAGCTCCAACACAGCCAGAGTCTGCCAGAGCCCCGATGCTTGCCAGCTTAATGGGCAAAAGTCAGCACCATTGAGAGCCCAAAACGGCCCCAAAGCTCCAACCCTGCTGCAGCGGCAAACAGGTGGAAGTCAATGAAAGGGACTTAGGGGGCCTGATTGCACAAGCAACCACCCATGGAGGCCCAGAAGGAACCCCAGACAGCCCCAAGAGCAACACCAACAGGCAAAGCCCAGCTAACCCAGGAGAGCCCACGAGTAGTGCAGCGGGTGTGACAGATCCATCTGTATAGACTGGGATTGCTGGTTCATCTGTTTTGCCCTTTCGTGGAATTACCCGTTCGTATGCCCCTGTTCAGTGAATTGACTTTTCCGCCGAACAAAACTACCAAACAGACGGCCACCCAGAAGAGAAGTGTGCTCTTGATCCCAATTAGAACGTTGTGGTTAACCGCAGACACTTCTCAATTCAAACCGAATACAGGGTGGTCGTCGTTCGTATGTCGACCACGAGGCGGCGGCGATTTTAAACCATGCGAAAGACCAGCGGTGTTTGGCATGGATTTCATGGAACTAAAAAACGGACACCTTTTCTGCCGAACACCGCTGAAGCCGAAGACCTCCCTTCTCAAGACAGAAGTATGCGAACACCGGCCATTCGCGAGGTTTAAACACACGAATGGACTTACCCCAGATAGCCTTCCCATGGAGTCAATCGCATACCGAAAGACTGTAATAGACTTTGACTCCATGGCGATTGAACAATGCGTATGGGATCTGAGCGCTATTCGCCAATAATATACACTCAGATCCAGGCTATCTGGGGATACGTGATACGAATGGGTAACATTTGACAAATGTAAAGTTATATATTTTTATATGTTTTTCTGTGTTGAATTTAAAATGGCGATTTGCCTCTGCCCTGGAGATAATTGAATTACTTCTCAATTATCTCCAGGGCAGAGGGGAGGAAATACTAATGTATGCTGGGAATATTCTGTGTCTGTGGGTCCTAACCTGCCATATGTCTGTCTGTTGTTACAGTCTCCCATTTGGTCCCCTAGGGGAGTGTCCACCAAGTGGGAGACCTGCATAAATACGGGCAGGTAGCCCACAGTAAAGCCAGTTCATCTTTATCCTCAATGCGGAGCATGGTCTCATTATTGGGGGGATTTATTACAGACGACTAGAGACTGCCGGATGGGATTATTAGCCACTTGGGAGGTATATGCGTTCGGCTATTATTGGCGATTCGTGAGTTTGGAGCTCTTGAAGTGAAGTGCCTGTACGGATCCCGTTCGTGAGTTTACAGCGTTCCCCTGCTTGCGGTTTGTATGCTTGTACTTGATACGCATGCAGCCTTGTTATTGCCGGAGGGGAGGATTCACTAAACGGCGGTTTGTGCATCTGATGCTGAGGGTACCGTAACAGCGGGAAACCCCAAAACCACCGACACCTCCTGCCTGATGTCTTAAACCGCAGCCAGGGGCAACCGACCTTCCCCCAGCCGGAATCGATCCCACTACCCAGGAGACTACAGCATACTATCCAGGAGACTACATGAGACTACGGATATGTCCTGGGCCACGGAACTCCGAAATGCTGAAACACTACCCCAAGAAAAACACCACAGCAGCAGAGTGCGGACGTGCGACACTGACGGCCCCACACATAAGCGACATTGGGAGCCACTCTTGTGGAGGCACAAAGCCACCTAATCCTGACCGTCAGAAACATAACCCAGAAACAATAACCCGCCGGGCGCACCAGCAGCAGCCGGATAACTGGTTCCACAGCTGCCTTCATCAGCGAGGCCTCAGCCCCACAATCCCACCCACGCAGATGGCTGCGTCATGCCACCATCGCAAACCCAGCCCCTGGCAGGGAACGACAACTGAGTAAATATGGAAACCGCGATATCGACCCCGCTCCTCCATGGGCACCACATCCCAAAGGGGGGGACCCGCGGAGCGGACTTCAGGGGCACAATAAAAAGATCGGGAGGTAAGCTTATCAAGCTTCTTGTTAAACTGGTCCTGCACCACCCGATGGAGCGCACCCATGTCCCCTATCCCGACAGATTGCCCGCATGATCCGCGGAAGATGGGATGGGCCCCCACCAAAGGAGCCCTCCCGCTGGAACGGCACGAGGACCCACTTACCATAACCATCAGTGAATGTCCAACCACCGCCTAGCATCCGGCTGGGGGCAAGTGAGGAGCTGGGTGTCCCCCCCACCTACTCCCCCAGAAAGGACGAAAACGCACCGTGCTAAGGCGCCGGGCGAGCCATAAGTAAAACCAGAGGCCTAAGTCCATCTGGTCCCAGGCCAAGAAGGGTCGCACCGCCAACCGTTGACGAAAGCGCAAGACGTACCACCCCCAACCCAGCTCATCCTAGGGACGACACGCATCCCAGAGAGTGTCCTAACAGCAAAACCACGTAGACCATTCTTGGGGAGCTGTATCCGAATACGCGTCATGGGGTGTATCCGATTACGGTATGTACCCTCCTGGAGTCCTTAAAGTCCCGCTTAGTCAAGGGACCCCCAGTGGCAGGAGGAAACATACCTCCAATAAAACCCCTTCCCCAATCTGCTCCCCAGTATGTCGCGCAAGCGCAATCCAAGCGGGCTATACTAGCTCAGCAGCACCCAGAATCACATGAAACGCCCGCTTCCTGGGAGGCATCGCCAGCGCTATTAGCCGCGCCGGACGCTGCAGAAAAGTGTAAAACATATAAAAGTAAAAAGTCTATAACAGATGATACATCCATACTGAAAATGAAGGGGGAAGACTATGTACCCTTTTTTTTTTTTGTATTTCCTTTCGTATTTTCCACTTTACTTATTTCTTTCTTTATTTATTTATATAAAAAAATTATTTTTTTTGTAATTATTTACTTATATATTTGTTAAAATTCATTTAATTTGGTAATTTCCATTTTAGTTCCTTTTTTTGCTTGTTTGTTTAAGAGGACCCGACAGAATAAAAGAAGGAACAACGTACTTACCAGCCAAAGCCCGGCGTACCGTAATCAGCATAAAGGTCAAGGCAGAAGACATGTAATTCAGCTACCAGTGTGTTTCCAAGGTGGTCCAGGCACCACCTGCTGGGCATAGCAGTGAACCACAGCCAGGACCTGTGAGAAGGGCACGGAGAGGATGTGAGCCCACGCTCCACCAGGAGGCAGCCGAGGTAAGTAACCAGCAGAGAGAAGAACAGAAGGCAGAGAGAAGAACAGAAGGGACAGGAACAGGTAAGAGCTGGGGAATGACAGGGGAGGAGGGAGGACACAGAGAAGAGGAACAGAGAGAGGGGGAAAGAACTGAGAGAGGGGGAGAGACCAGGGGGAAACAGAAAGAGGAAACCGCAGGGGGGGGGCAAAAGGAGGGTTCCTCCGACCAGGGAAAGGAGAGGGGAGAAAAGTAAGGGGGAGGGGAGGGAAGAAACAGAAAAAAGGGGGGATTGAAGAGACCGAAAAAAGGGGGGGTTGTGAGGGAGAGAGACCCCCCCCGGAAGCCATCCTCACCGGCAAAGGAGGCCCCCAGCCCAGGAGAGGCCCCCCTCTCCCCCCGGCAGTACCTTAGAGCTCCGTGCGGCCCCACTCACCGCCGGGGTCCTATTCACGGCCCAGGCGTCGTGCCAGCCATGCGGTGGTCGGGAAGACTTCTGACCGGCCACCTACTTCATGGGATGCGCCGCCTGCCTCCTACAACCTCCGGCACGATCCCCAATGCCGGAGGCGCAGCCTGTGATCCGGCTGCAGGAGGGAGAGGCTGCAAGTCACGTGTGGAGCCTCAGACATGCGGCCCAGGTGATGCCTCGGGCGGGAACGCTGGCTGGCATCATCGCGGCCCCCAGGAGCAGGGGCCACAGGGAAGGCCCCATAAAGAGACAGGCCGCGGGGGGGAGTACCCACACCGGGGGTGCAGGGGCCACAGGGAAGGCCCCAGAGGGACCCAGGCCGCAGGGGGAGCACCCACACCGGCAGCCACCATGGGAGAGGGGGGCAGGGGCCACAGGGAAGGCCCCAGAGGGACCCAGGCTGTGGGGGGGGGGGAGCACCCACACCGGCAGCCACCATGGGAGAGGAGAGCACCTGAATCAGGAGTCGCTGGCCACGATCCACGCTGCAGCAGCTCTGAGGGAAGCCAGAAAGCCTCAACCTCCATCCCTCAAGCTGTGTAAATCTGCAGGCCCAGGTAAACAGGAGCAGCAGGACAGGAAGCTGTTTGCTGGCCCGAATCCCAAGTGGCACTGAGGTAAGACCTCCCCACACTAACTTACACAGAACATAATCCCACCCACACATACTTTCCCAACCACTCCCCTGCATCTATCCCCACACTCCTACATGTGCCCTTGTCTGCTTAGCTGCGCTATCTCCCAGGGCCTGAACCTTCAGCGTTATTTGGTAGGCCCGAATACCGCTCTACGAATGGTGAGGCCAGAACAAGTACAGGCGACAGTGGCGCCGCTGGGCAGAGGGGGCCATGGCCCCCCCTACATCATGCTGGGCCCCCCCAAATGCCAGAATATTATATTCCCTCGAGCTGTAACAGTCTGTGACAGCCTGAGGGAATGGAGGAGAGAGGGGCTGGAGAGATGCTGGGGCCAGAGGGAGCACTGACAGGCTCCTCGGCACAGGCCCCACCCCCAAACCAAGCCCCACCTCCAAGACCATGGTGCTGCAGAAAATGGCTGTCTGACCTCCAGTGACAGGTAGGTTTGGTGTGTGTGTGAACATAGCAGTCTGTGTATATATGGACTCAGCAGAGTCTGTGTGTGTGTGTGTGTGTGTGTGTATGTATGGACTCAGCAGAGTCTGTGTGTGTATGTATGGACTCAGCAGAGTCTGTGTGTGTGCATGGACTCAGAAGAGTCTGTGTGTGTGTGTGTATGGACTCAGCAGAGTCTGTGTGTGTGTGTGTGTGTATGGACTCAGCGTGTGTGTGTGGGGGGGGACTCAGCGGTCTGTGTATGTGGACTCAGCCGTCTCTGTGTGTGCATGGACTCAGCAGTCTGTGTGTGTGGGGGGGATTCAGCAGTCTGTGTGTGTGTGTGTGTGTGTGTGTATGGACTCAGCAGTCTGTGTGTGTGTGTATGGACTCAGCAGTCTGTGTGTGTGTATGGACTCCGCATTCTGTGTGTGTATGGACTCCGCAGTCTGTGTGTGTATGGACTCCGCAGTCTGTGTGTGTATGGACTCCGCAGTCTGTGTGTGTATGGACTCAGCAGAGTCTGTGTGTGTAAGGACTCAGCAGAGTCTGTGTGTGTGTGTGTATGTATGGACTCAGCAGAGTCTGTGTGTGTGTGTGTGTGTATGCTGACTACAGAGTTCTGTGTGTGTGTGTGTGTGTGTGTGTGTGTGTGTGCGGACTCAGTGCAGAGTCTGTGTGTGTGTATGGACTCAGCAGAGTCTGTGTGTGTGTGTGTGTGTGGACTGTGCAGTATGTGTGTGTGCGGGCGACTCAGCAGTGTGTATGTGTGGGGGGGGGACTCAGCAGTCTGTGTATGTGGACTCAGCCGTCTCTGTGTGTGCATGGACTCGGCAGTCTGTGTGTGTGTGGGGGGGGACTCAGCAGTCTGTGTGTGTGTTTGTGTGTGTGTGGACTCGGCAGTCTCTGTGTGTGTGTGTGTGGACTGGTGTGTATGGACTCAGCAGTCTGTGCGTGTGTGTATGGACTCAGTAGTCTGTGTGTGTATGGACTCAGCAGTCTGTGTGTGTGTGTATGGACTCAGCAGTCTGTGTGTGTGTGTATGGACTCAGCAGTCTGTGTGTGTGTGTATGGACTCAGCAGTCTGTGAGTGTGTGTGTGTGTGTGTGTGTGTATTTACTCAACAGTCTGTGAGTGTGTATGGACTCAACTGATCTGTGTGTGTGTGTGTGTGCATGGACCCGGCAGTCTGTGTGTCTGTGTGTGTGTGTGTGTGTGCATGGACTCGGCAGTCTGTGTGTATATGTATGTGTGTGTGTATGGACATAGCAGTCTGTGTTTGTGCATGGACTCAGCAGTCTGTGTGTGTGTGTGTGTGTCCATGGAATCAGCAGTCTGTGTGTGTGTGTGTGTGTGTGTGGACATAGCAGTCTGTGTGTGTACATACTCAGCAGAGTCTGTGTGTGTGTGTGTGTGTATGGACTCAGCAGTCTGTGTGTGTGTATTTACTCAGCAGTCTGTGAGTGTGTATGGACTCAGCAGTCTGTGTGTATGTGTGTGTGTGTATGGACTCAGCAGTGTGCCTGTGTACGGACTCAGCAGTCTGTGAGTGTGTGTATGGACTCAGCAGTGTGTCTGTGAGTGTGTGTATGGACTCAGCACTGTGTCTGTGTATGGACTCAGCAGTCTGTGTCTGTGTGTGTGTATGGACTTAGCAGTCTGTGTGTGTGTGTGTGTGTATGGACTCAGCAGTCTGTGAGTGTGTATGGACTCAGCAGTCTGTGTGTGTGTATGGACTCAGCAGTCTCTGTGTGTATGGACTCAGCAGTGTGTGTGTGTTTGTGTGTGCATGGACCCAGCAGTCTGTGTGTATGTGTGTGTGTGTGTATGGACATAGCACTCTGTGTTTGTGTGTGTGTGTGGACTCAGCAGTCTGTGTGTGTGTGTGTGTGTGTGTGTATGCATGGACTCAGCAGTCTGTGTGTGAGTGTGTATTTACTCAGCAGTCTGTGTGTGTTTGAGTGTGTATTTACTCAGCAGTCTGTGAGTGTGTATGGACCCAGCAATCGGTGAGTGTGTATGGACTCAGCAGTCTGTGTGTGTATGGACTCAGCAGTCTGTATGTGTGTGTGTGTGTGTGTGTGGACATAGCAGTCTGTGTGTGTACGTACTCAGCAGAGTCTGTGTGTGTGTTTGGACTCAGCAGTGTGTCTGTGTATGGACTCAGCAGTCTGTGTCTGTGTGTGTGTATGGACTTAGCAGTCTGTGTGTGTGTGTGTGTGTGTGTGTGTGTGTGTGTGTATGGACTCAGCAGTCTGTGAGTGTGTATGGACTCAGCATAACTTCGGCCTTCCCGCTCACCGCCTCAAATGCGACGTGCCCACAAGGTGGAACTCCACCTCGCACATGCTGGAGAGACTGTGCGAGCAGCAGCAGGCGATAGTGGAGTTTCCGATGCAGCACGCACAGTGGAGTTTCAGATGCAGCACCATTTCACCACCAATGAGTGGGCCTCCATGCGAGACCTGTGTGCCATTTTGCACTGTTTCAAGTACTCCACCAACATGGCCAGTGCCGATGACGCCGTTCTCAGCCTTACTATCCCGCTTCTATGTCTCCTTGAAAAAACGCTGCGGGATGAGGATGTGGCACAGGAGGAAGAGGAGGAGGAGGAGGAAGAGGGGTCATTTCCACAGTTATCAGGCCAATCATTCACAAGTGGCTTGGAGGGTGGGTTCCTGCACCAACATAGGCCAGGTACACAATTGTCCAGCCAGGGCACAGTTCTGGAGGATGAGGATGATGAGGATGAGGAGGAACCATGTTCACAGCAGGGTGGCACCCAACGCAGCTTGTGGGCATTACTGGAGTGTGGCTGGGGGGATACGGAGGACACAGACAATATACCTCCCACAGAAGACAGCTTGTCCTTGCCTCTGGGTAGCCTGGCACACATGGGCGACTACATGCTGCAGTGCTTGCGCAACGACTGTCGAGTTGCTCACATTCTAACTTGGGCTGATTACTGGGTGGCCACCCTGCTGGATCCCCGTTACAAGGACAACGTGCCGTCCTTAATTCCCTTACTAGAGTGTGATCAGAAGATGCACGACTATAAGCACACGCTGGTAGACGCGCTGCTGAGGGCATTCCCAGGGCCGGCGCGTCCATAAGGCGGCACAGGCGGCCGCCTTAGGGCGCACGGGCTCTGGGGGCGCAATATTTCAGTGACCGGCAGGAGGGAAGCTCTCCCTCCTGCCAGGCCACCATCTCGACCCCCGGCGCGGCAGTGCTGTGATCAGGCACGCGAGGGAGCTCTAATCTCCACCCTCTGCTCCCTCGCGCGCTGTCTGCTGATGCCGCGGGAGCCGGAAAATGACGTCATCAACCCGGCTCCCGCGGCATCAGTAGGCAGCCCGCAAGGGAGCAGAGGGTGGAGATTAGAGCTCCCTCGCCGCGCCTGTTCACAGCACTGCCGCACGCCTCCCAGCAGCCCCAGGGACCGATCCATAATCCACACCAGCTCTCCAGGTAGGGAGGCTGGGTGGAAAATATGTAGTTATAAAAATAATTAGTGAATGTATGTGATGTGTGTCTGTGAGTGACTGTGTGTGTGTGTCTGTGAGTGACAGTGTGTGTGTGTCTGTGAGTGACAGTGTGTGTGTCTGTGAGTGACAGTGTGTCTGTGAGTGACAGTGTGTGTGTGTCTGTGAGTAACAGAGTGTGTGTGTCTGAGTGACAGTGTGTGTGTCTGTGAGTGACAGTGTGTGTGTGTCTGTGAGTGACAGAGTGTGTGTGTCTGTGAGTGACAGTGTGTGTGTGTCTGTGAGTGACAGTGTGTGTGTCTGTGAGTGACAGAGTGTGTGTGTCTGTGAGCGACAGTGTGTGTGAGTGACAGTGTGTGTGTGTGAGTGACAGTGTGTGTGTGTGTGTGTGTGTGAGTGACAGAGTGTGTGTGTCTGTGAGTGACAGTGTGTGTGTGTCTGTGAGTGACAGTGTGTGTGTGTCTGTGAGTGACAGTGTGTGTGAGTGACAGTGTGTGTGAGTGACAGTGTGTTTGTGTGTGAGTGACAGTGTGTGTGTCTGTGAGTGACAGTGTGTGTGTGTCTGTGAGCGACAGTGTGTGTGTGTCTGTGAGCGACAGTGTGTGTGAGCGACAGTGTGTGTGTGTCTGTGAGTGACAGTGTGTGTGTGTCTGTGAGTGACAGTGTGTGTGTCTGTGAGTGATTGTATGAGTGTGTGTGCGAGTGTATCTGTCTGTCAAATCAGTGAGAGTATGTTTGTCATTGAGTCTGTGTGTGACTATCAGTGTGTCTGTCAATGAGTGTCAATCAGTGTGGGTCTGTCAGTGTCAATGAATGAGTGTGTGTCAGATCAATGAGTCTGTGTCTGTCAGTGACGTCTGTGTGTTTGTCATTGAGTGTGTGACTGTCAGTGTGTACAGAGTGTATCGGAGCAGAGCGCGGTACAGGAACTTCTGTTTCCTGTACCTGGCCAGACTGACAGGAGGTGCTCACAGAGAGAGCACTCCCTGTCAGTCCGGCCGGGTACAGAAAACTGAAGCTCCTTTAGGGGATCTGCTCCACTCGACAATACAACAATAGAGGTAGGAGGCACACCAGGAAGGGGAGTGTGACCACTAAAGGGGTGTGGGGTGCACCAAGGGACAGGGAGGGAATGGGAGAGAAACACCAAGAGACAGGGAAAAGAGGGGGGAGGGGAGAAGAACACTAAGGGACAGGGAAGGGAAGGGACTACTAATGGTCAGGGAGGGGAGAGGGGCTGGTTAAGAGGCACATAGATGAAGATGTTTTTTTTCGGGGGGGGGGTGCGGGGGGGCGGAAAAAGGCATCTTCGCCTATGTACCTAAAAATCCAAGCACCGGCCCTGGGCATTCCCATCTGACACCAGGGGCTCAGTGGAAGCACAAGGCGAAGGCAGAGGAGGAGGAAGAGGTCGCCAACGCAGCTGGGGCACCACCAGCACCTCAGAAGGCAGGGTTAGCATGGCCGAAATGTGGAAAAGCTTTGTCAGCACACCACAACAACCAGCACCACCACCTGATATGGAATGTCTTAGCAGGAGGCAGCATTTCAGCAACATGGTGGAACAGTACGTGTGCACATGCCTACACGTACTGACTGATGGGTCTGCCCCATTCAACTTCTGGGTCTACAAATTGGGCACATGGCCTGAGCTTGCCCTTTATGCCTTGGAGGTGCTGGCCTGCCCTGAAGCCAGTGTATTGTCTGAACGTGTGCTTAGCACGGCAGGGGGTGTTATCACAGACAAGCGCAGCCGCCTGTCCACAGCCAACGTGGACAACCTCACGTTTATTAAAATGAACCAGGCATGGATCCCACCAGACTTGTCTGTACCTTGTGCAGAATATACATTTATACCGGCCTCACCCAGCCATTGTTATACTCAAGTGCACTTATTCTTTGTTTTCTTTTTTTATATGTCCCAATATTTTGGGGGCTACCCCAATAAAAATAAATAAACAAAAAAACAAAAACAAAACAAACAAATTAAAAACAGTGTTGGCTACCTCCTTCTCCTCCTCCTCCATCGCCGCTTCCACCTAAACCGCCACGGTGTATACCCAGATATATCAGAGCTGCTGCAGAAAGTGCGGCCCGTCTGTGTGCGATTTCGGCGTTCGCACCTGTAACGGACCGCTTCAGCACACAAGGGGTTAAAACCGTTTAGGCGATCGTCCCCTTTCAGAGATGGAGGCGCAGTTACTGTAGAACACCAAACTCATGAACCGCATGTAAGGGAATGCTCTAAACTCCTGAACAGCATACAATATAGCACTCCAAACTCACGAACTGGAACCATACGAATCGCTGCTAGCAGACGAATAGGAAAAGCATCCAAGCGGCTTACACTCCTAGCAATCAGTCTCTATCAGCATTCAGTAAATCCCCCCAAAGATGAGACAAGGCTCCGTGTTGAGGGTCAAGCAGTGGTCTGGTTTAATGAGGGCTACCTGCCCAGTATTTATGCAGGTCTCCCACCTGGTGGACACTCCCCTAGGGGACCAAATGGGAGACTGTGACAAAAGACAGACAATCAGCCAAACAGGACACACAGTCACATTATATTCCCACAATGCATCCTGGCTTCCTCCCTCTGCCCTGGAGATAATTGAGAAGTAATTCAATTTTCTCCCAGGACAAAGGCAAATCTTCATTATGCACGTGGGGATACTAAAACATGAATTACTATTAAAATACACTATATGACACAAGTTACAATAAAACTATACATTTAACATATCCCCAGATAGCTCAGGTCTGAGCGCACATTATTAAGCGAATGGCGCTCAGACCACACGAATACAGTTTAATCGCCATGGAGCCAAAGTCTTCACAAAGTCAGTTCTCATACGAATGAGCTCCAAGGGATTCCTATCTGTGGTATAGTGCAGTCAGGTACAACTACCGAATGCCGGGCCGTTTGTGTACTTCCACCGAACAAGAAGGGAGGTCGGCGGCTTCAGCGGTGTTCGCGCCAAACTGTGTCTGTTTTTAGTTCCATGAATTAAGCGTTGAACACCGCTGTGCGTTCGCGTGTTTAAAATGGCCGCAACCTCGTGTTCGTTATACGAATGGCGGCCACCCAGTATTCGTCAATTAAGCTGCGGTTAACCGCCGGCACACTCCAGCTCCCAGGTGGTCTAGTCATTCGTGCGGTTGTTCGGTAGATTGAATCTACCGAACACCGGGCAGAAAAGCACGAATAAGTCTTTTCTGCAGGGGAAACAAAGTCTTTTAACATGGGGCCATAATCCAAAGGTAGCAGGCGTGCAACCAGGCTTATGCAATGTGCCGAGATTGCTCTCGTCACAGCACCCTGCTGCTGCTCGCCTGTCTGCGCTGCAGCGTAACTCCGGCCTTCCCGCTCACCGCTTCATGAACTCATGAGAGTTTTCTTTTTTATATGTCCCAATATTTTGGGGGCTACCCCAATTTAAAAAAATAAAAAACAATGTTGGCTACCTCCTCCTCCTCCACCGCCGCTTCCACCTACACCGCCACGGTCACCGCCTCCTCAACCTATGAGTCACTTAGTATAAACTATGTACACAATAGCGAAGGCCTTTTCTCCATGCATCATGAGTTGAGCATTTCTCCATGCATCAGCACTGCAAGTTTCATGGGCAAATGCAAATATTACAAGTTTTAGAATGAAATGTTGTATTTCTTAAACTGTGTACTTTGTCTTTAAGAGATATTGCAAATTGACAAGGTGTTAGAAATGGAACATATTGTTTTTCATAGATGTTTCTTTAAGCAATAACCTCAGTGCATAATATGTTTGCGCCATTTTGTCCCAGACGAATTACAATAACAATAATGCATAAACAAGCTTCAAGGCTAAGCTACGACTCTTTCAGTACACAGGGCCGGCGCGTCCATAAGGCGGCACAGGCGGGCGCAAGATTTCAGTGAGCGGCAGGAGGGAAGCTCTCCCTCCTGCCAGGCCACCTTCTGGATCCGCGGCGTGCGGCAGTGCTGTGATCAGACGTGGTGAGGGAGCTCTAATCTCCACGCTCTGCTCCCTTGCGCGCTGTCTGCTGACGTCATATACCGGCTCCCTCCCGCGGTATCAGAAGGCAGCCCGCGAGGGAGCAGAGCGTGGAGATTAGAGCTCCCTCGCCGCGTCTGATCACAGCACTGCCGCACTGGACCCCAGGGAATGATTCATCATCCACACCAGCTCTCCAGGTAGGGAGGCTGGGTTGAAAATGTTTATTTATTAAAATAATTAGTGAGTGTGTGTATGCGTGTCTGTGTGTCTGTGAGTGACTGTCTGTGATTGAGTGTGTGTGTGTGTGTCTGTCTGTGTTTGTGTGTATGTGTGTCTGTGAGTGACTGTCTGTGATTGAGTGTGTGTGTGTCTGTCTGTGTGTGTGTGTATGTGTCTGTGTGTGAGTGTATGTGTGCCTGAGTGTCTGTGTGCCTGTGAGTGACTGTCTGTGATTGAGTGTGTGTGTGTGTCTGTCTGTGTGTGTGTGTATGTATGCCTGTGTGTGAGTGTATGTGTGCCTGAGTGTCTGTGTGCCTGTGAGTGACTGTCTGTGATTGAGTGTGTGTCTGTCTGTGTGTGTGTCTGTGTGTGAGTGTATGTGTGCCTGAGTGTCTGTGTGCCTGTGAGTGACTGTCTGTGATTGAGTGTGTGTGTGTCTGTGTGTCTGTGTGTGAGTGTATGTGTGCCTGAGTGTCTGTGTGCCTGTGAGTGACTGAGTGTGTGCATGAGTATGTGTGTCTGTGAGTGCTTGTATGAGTACTGCATGTGAGTGTATGAGTGTGGCAGTGTATGTGTGTCTGTCAGTGTGTGTTTGTGAGTGTCTGTCAAATCAGTGAGAATATCTTTGTCATTGAGTCTGTGTGTGAGTATCAGTGTGCCTGTCAATGAATGAGTGTGTGTCAGATCAGTGAGTCTGTGTGTTTGTCATTGAGTGTGTGTGACTGTCAGTGTGTATACACCACTGAGTGTAGCGTGGTGGAACGCAGTACAGGAGCTTCTGTTTCTTCCTAAACAGAGCTGAAATTATACTACCCTCCTAGAAAAAAGGGCAACAGGTGGTTATACATCCTTTGCTTCTCTAAATGCTCTGCAAAAATAAATATTGAGAAAATGATTAAAAATAATATATATGTAAGATAAATACACTGTCTCTATCTATCTCCCCTTGGATCTATCTATCTCCCCTTGGATTTACTTGCTCCTTTATAGGGTTAGCATAGAACACCCTTGAAGGTGTTTGTCTCTAAGAAGTTTGCAGGGAATATACTCCTTATTCATAACCTTCCTTCTCTATGCTGCTCTGTTTACTATTGATTTACTGAGGGTCTCTATATATAGGGATAGCATAGAACACCCTCGAAGGTGTTTGTTTCTAGGAGTTTTCAGGGATTTTATTCTCCATCTACAACTCTCCTTTCCTATGCTGCATTGTTCAGTATTTATCTACTGAGGGTCTCTCATTAGGGATAGCATAGAACACCCTTGAAGGTGTTGATTCTTAGGAGCCGTCAGGGACTATCAACTCTCTACTTATTATTCTCTTTCATATGCTGTTCTGTTCAGTACCCATTTACTGTGGTTCCTCCCTTTCTTATTATAATATAGGTTGAGGGACAGCATAGAATATACCTGAAGTATTAGGGTAATCATTACCTTTGCACCTATTATTCCCTGTCTACCTATCTTTTGATTAACTATTATCTTTTCTCCTCTGGGGACTAGTCATTATATCCTTATTGAAGAATTTGACTTCTCCCCCTGTAGATTCATGTGATATATAGTATTGCTAATTTCTTAGGTCGGATTCGATTCCATCTTTTGCCCCTTCTGTTTATTATTAGAATTACAATAAAGTAGCTTTAATTGTTTCACTTTTGGGGCATCTTTGGAATATCTAATTAATATACTATATATTTCGGGATTATTTCTCTCTTTAAGGACTTCAGTGCTGGTTTTCTAGCCATTTAATGTTATTAGTACTTTCCCTATATTATATTTAAGATCAGTCTAGAGTCTCTTCTATTGAGTCTCTAATATACTTTTTTTTCAATACTTTATTCTGGGTACAAGCCCTTTTGGTGGATCTGTAACCACCAGTCTGACCTCTGGGAGTGCCTCACTCTCACTTTTTCTTTGTGAGTTGTGGATACACCTCCAACATTTTACTTACCTTAAGATATAGAGAGTTCGTGGAAAGTGTTCCCCTGATTCGGTAGATTGAATTTCCCGAACACCGTTCGTGTGAAGTTCGTGGAAATAAGCCAGGCGGGACCGGGACTCGAGGGCTCGAGGGCTATGCCGAAAATAGTTCCAGGAGGTCGATGCCTAAGTCCCGCTGACTGGCCGTTTGGGAGTTTAAGATGGATTTTTAAGGGATTTGAACGTACAGGAAATAACGAATGCACCAGTAATACAGGTAATAAATCCCACGAATACAACACGAATACAACAGCAGGGAGGGAAATAGTCAAAACGAATTGAGGGTGATTCTTCACAGAGGACTTCCTCCAAGAACTATCTCATAAGGAGAGACACAGCTCACAGTGAAATGATTGCCTACACTGGTATTTCACAAGGAACCTATTGAAGATAATTCCAAAAACTGATTATAAGAAAGATGTGATTGAACCATTCCAAATCCTAATAATGGACTCAACGATGATGGCAAAGCATGCTGAAAACAGGAAAAGACGGGACAGATGCTTGTGAAAAACTTTGGATGCACCTATGAAGGTGTGGCGGAACCAACCTCGCAACTATGCACTGGAGAAGCCTGGTTGCCAGCCTCCTGCCATGTGACTATGGCCCCTGGGATGTATTGCCCTTTAAAGACATGATTTGGGCATAATGGATTTGTGTTGTGCTGCTGCTGGCCCTTTTAAGAACCATCTGGGGACATACTGTGGAGTTACTGGGTGGCCACCATTTCCTGTATCAGAAGCACATGGTGAGAACAATGGATGGCGGCCATTTTAACTCACAGACACTGTGTGGACTTTTCAACACGGTGCCATCTCGCCAGTATTTGTTGCACAGAGACATCGTGCGGTGGTTTTGGACTATACAGCAGGGGACACATTATACAGTGATTGTTTTTTATTTAGCCTGTATATGTTCTGCAGAATCTGCATTAAACTGTATTTTCCAAAGTACTGAACGGATCTGGGTGAATTTTGGATATGTGGTTCACCCAGATCCCCCAGTTCCAAGGATATACTTTTTATGGGGTTATTGCATGTTTTGGGGTCCCTGTGATGTGTTTTATGAAACTGTATTTCTCTGGCTGTGATAATTAGATTACCCATTGTGTTCAGTAATCATATCACAGCCAGAGGGGAGGATTTTGTGTGGGAGTGTCTGGGTGTATTGTATGGATTGATTGGCTGTTTTGTAACGCCCTGTGGGCTGTACTATGTTTGTGGATTGGGAATAAAAGAGACTGTATGTGACAGTACAGGGAGTTCCTGTTTTAACCCTCAAAGTGAAGTGTCGTCTCATTATTGGGGGAAGGATTTATTGTATGCTGTTCCAGTTTGACTGCTAGGAGAGTAAACCTATTCGTATGGTTCCTATTCAACTGTCTACAGCATTCATATGCTTGAGAGGATTCATATGCTTCTCCGGTTCGGTGGTTGTGGTGTCTGCTGCAGTGCTTGGAGTCCTCAGGAAGCGCTAGGAGCATCTTTTAACGGAGGTACCCAGTCGGGGTGCCAGGCGATCCGTTACAGAAGGTGATTAAGAAAATACTTTGCCATATAGTTTATCATTGAAGGACTTTGTGCAAACAGCCTTCTTATGCTGAAAGGAAGTGCTATGCTAATTCTGGACATTGCTATTATGTTTCCAGACAGAAGATGACCGGAAAAAGAAATAAAGGCTGATAACTGTCAATACCCAACAGCTTCTCAAGATGGAACATGGTAATGACAAAACCAGATTGACTATCAAAGCACCTCACAGTACAAGACAGATTGTTGCCTACAACTCAGAAAAAGTGGTTAATAGGAAGGAGCAGAAGAAGAGGAATATAGATTTCCTACTGGAGTGAAAAACCATCCTTGAACAATATTCTGTAACAATGAACTTTGCCAGCATATGAATTCGAATTCGAAAAAAACACATTAACGAAAGAAACCTTAAAGCAATTAATAAATAATAACTAGACCGGCCTACTAAGAGCAGATGTCCTGCCAAGAGAATGGATTATAAAAGGCCAGCAAAACCTTTCAGAAACATGACATCACGGGACACTTGTACTAAAGCACGATTTGCAGCTTTTCTTAACCCTTAAGACCGGAGGGCGTACTATTACGCCCTATTCTAAGCGGCTCTAAACGTCGCCGGGCGTAATAGTATGCCCTCCGGTCTTTTCCTACTTAACCGGTCGCCGGCGATCCCACGCCGGCGATCGCGGTTGGGGGGACTCCCAGGGAGCCCACAGCAGCACGTCCGACCCCCTGGAAGCCCCCCGGCCATGTGAGAAGGAGGTCCTTGCGAGGACCCCACAATCACATGGCCGGGGGTAGCTGGCTGCAGCATTGCCAGCAGGGGGACTGCCTGTAATGACAGGTGGTCCCCCTGCTGGCTGGGAATAAAATCAAATAAATTAAAAAGTGTAAAAAAAATAATAATATATACTTAGATCATATATATATATATATATATATATATATATATATATATATATACACATATACATACACACACGTACACTGTCTAGGTGTATTTTACTATTAATATATATATATAAATATATATATATTAATATCAAATTACACGTAGACTGATACTGATTAAATATATATATAATTATTGTTATATATATATATTTATATATAATATAAAAAAATATGTAAATACGTTAAAAAATAAAATTACGGGGGCGTGTCCGACTTCTGGCCTGAACGGACGCATGGAGTAGGAGCTCCTCTCCAGCACGAGCCATAACGCATACTAAATGCACGATTACAATCTACAACCAAGTAGCAATCCAACGGGGAAAGGGACCATACCACAAATATGTCGCCCTCCAAACAAACAAAACTTACGGACCCGTCCAGACAGGCGAAAAAAGAAAGGAACAAAATGATCCAAGATGGCGCCGGTTCGGAATCCTCTACCCAAACCTCGGAAGGTGCGACGGACTTGGACCAGGTCCAAGAGACGGAAGCAGAAGGGAACATTTCCAAGGCTTACCTCAAGGCTATGCTCCAAGAATTAAGATCAACAATCCGCGAAGATTTCACAACAATAATCAATGGTATACACCAGGAGATTGCAGAACTGGGTGACCGCACAGACCATCTCGAGAGGAAAACAGAGGAGCTATGCTCAGCTCATAATGCAGCGCCCGACAAACTCCAAGCTTTGGAAGCTGACAACACTAAGATATGGCAAAAACTGGCGGACATGGAGGACAGATCAAGAAGAAATAATGTAAGGTTCAGAGGGATAGCAGAATCTGTCACACCAGACAAACTTACCGCCTACATCACCACCATGTGCGCAACAATGGCGCCTACCATAAGCGGCTCAGCATGGGACCTCGACAGAGTGCACCGGCTTCCTAGGCCACAGCGCCTCTCTGCAGATACCCCACGCGATGTCATAGCACGCTTCCACTACTTCAAGTCTAAAGATGCCCTCCTCACGGCTGCTAGGGCATTGCCTACCATGCCCACACCATATGAAGGCATAGCACTATATGCAGACCTGTCGGCCACGACAATGGCGCGCCGCAGAGACTTTTCCACAATTACCAAAACGCTGCGGAATCACAAACTGGCATACAGATGGGGCTTCCCCACGAAGGTCCTGATATGGCGCAACGGTAAAGTAAACGTGATAGCAGACCCAGAGACAGGTCTCAACACCCTGAAAGAATGGGGACTGTGGGACAACCAAGGATCAGCAAACCCCCCCAGAGGCCTCCCCACAACGGTTCCGGCCGGAATGGAAGATGGTGGGCCAACCTCCACGTTAGAGCACCATAGGGCACCGGTCACCCGCACAACACCATTAAGGGACCACACCATCGCATACTCTATGTGAAGGAGGACCCGACCAAATGAACTTTGAATAACAGAGTCTGGCACTGTGCCAACTCAGGACTTTCATACACACCTAAGTGCTGCTAACTTCAGGACTGGTAGTATATGTGCGAGCGTTCTAAATTTGTGAGTGTGTGTTGTGCTCCCCCTGCCATCCCACCTTATAGTGTCACTTGAAGCCCTGGTTATCCCACTGGGTACCCCCAGTCAGTGCCAGTCTGAGGGTTGAATGCCTACCCCCACCGACACTCAGGGGCCCCGCCCGTAAGGGAAGACATCGCAGCAGGGAGCAGTCCCCCTCTAGTAAGGCCCCCGGGCATCCAGTCCCGAAACCAACACCCCACGGAGCATAAATAACTACCCGCCTCATGCAGGAACGCTCACAACCCCAATGGGCACAAGCCCCTTCCGAACAACCGAAGGGTAGCCAAGGTAGCCACCAATACCAGGCCCACATTGACCCGTGGGGACGTTCACTGCAATGGGGTCCTTGCGGTGTAGAGATAACCCCTTAGATTCCTGCACCTGGGGGCCGAGACCAGCGCTCAACTGCCAGAATCGGGATAACCCCAGGGACCTAAACACCAGACCCTAGGGATGACAGGGGGACAGGTCATACCCCAAGTTTGCCAGATTGCCCCATAAAAGTTTGCCCACTCATACGCCGTATGGCGCCATAGACGACAAAAACAAATAATAAAAATTTTTTTAAAAAAAATCAAACCACCCACACATATACCGGACTGAATCGCATGTAGCTACCTCTACCGTACCATAAGACACTAATATTACCCCCCATAGGGGACGGGTGCCCTTGCTCTACGGGAAACGGGAGGATGACCACAATGGCTCCCCCGCTATCACATCACTATACATGACTGTGCAATCTAATACCTTGAAACGCTACTACGGCTCAGGAGCGGACCTGCTCCACACGACCCCCCATCTGGGATGTCTACTGGGGAGACACGTGACAGCTCCCCAGTACACCCAAAGCTGCACTCTCAATGGAGAGAGTTGTATATATATTTTGTTTATGTTATATATGTTTATGTTGTACTCCCCCTAGTTTTTGCATGTCTTATAACTGAGATACCATACCAAAGACACGGTCCCCGACTACCAGCCCTTACGCATACCATCCAGGACTCATTCCCTACCGACATAAGAGAAGGTGTGCATCATCGCTCACCCAAGTTCTGGGACAACCCACTCAATGCAGCATGCCGTCCTCCTTGCTAGAATGACACACCAATTTAAATGCCTTTCCCTGAATGTCAATGGCCTGAACAGCCCGTTTAAAAGACACTCTGCCCTAAGAGAGATACACACTTCACAAGCAGCAATAGTATGCCTGCAAGAAACCCACCTATGTATACACAACCCTCCAGCATTCAAACCGACCTGCTACCCACAAGCATTCCACGCATTAGCACCGCACAAGTCCAAAGGGGTCTCTATACTATTCCACAAAGACTGGGTCTTTCAGCCCACTAAGATCCATCAGGACACATTAGGCAGATTGATAATCGTGGTAGGCGCTCTCAATGGCATCAATGTCACAGTGGCGTCCCTGTATGCCCCAAATGACGCTCAGGCCTCCTTTCTGGGGTCTGCTCTTAAAAAAGTAGCAAACCTTAGACAAGGTCACACTATCATATGCGGGGATTTTAACTGCACACTGGATCCCAACCTAGACATCCAACGAGCCCAAGGGAAAAAGCCCCTACATCAAGCTGCCTCCCTAAGCCGGAACCTCTCCATTCTCCTCCACAAACACGACCTATACGATACATAGCGCAACCTTTTCCCGAGCGGGAGAGACTATACTTATTTCTCTCCAGTACATCATACATACTCACGCATAGATATGTGCCTAGTGGACAAAATGTCACTGCAGAATATTTCAGACGTTATGATAGGGCAGAGGACATGGTCAGACCATGCTCCGGTCATTACCACCTTTAAGACCTTATACCCTGTGAAAGGTAGAAGCACCTGGAGACTAAACGAAACCCTGATGAACGAGACAGACCTCATAACAAAGCTGACCAATACGATTCGATGGTTCTACGAGGACCACGCAAATGACAAAACTACCATCCCGACGCAATGGTTGACTCTTAAAGCAGTAGTTAGAGGCCTCCTTATACAGGCAGGAGCGACGCGCAAAAAGAAAGGACAAAGGGAGAAAGGGAGCCTACTAGAGGACCTCAAACACTTGGAGGATAAAAACAAACTCAACCCGTCAAAAAAAATAACTAAACACATCAATAGCATAAACTCTAGATTACACGCGCTCTCACTAGCGAATATGGAAAGACAAATGCGCAAGCTTAACCTAACTCATTATATGCAAGGCAACAAAGCCGGCAAGCTACTTGCGCGACGGCTAAAAACACAATACCTACAGTCTAAATTACCTTACATGACATCAGCCAACAACACGAAACTATACAACCCCCAAGACATAGTGGAAGAACTGGCCACCTACTACGATAAACTCTATAACTTACACCAGGCCAATGACACCCACCAACCCTCCCAACACGAAATCCTTGATTTCCTGCGGGAGGTAGATCTGCCCAGACTGACGGAGGATCAGGGGGAGGCTCTCCTGGCCCCATTCTCAGAGGAGGAAGTGCAGCGTACCATATGCTCTCTTCCAAAACGTAAAGCACCGGGCCCAGATGGATTCCCTAATTCCTTCTACACTACATTTGTCACACAACTCACACCGCACCTTACCAGATTATTCAACCATATCAAAACTACAGGACACATCCCTAAGGAAATGCTCCTCGCACATGTAATAACGCTGCCCAAACCGGGAAAACCCCCAACGGAATGCGCGAACCTGAGGCCAATATCACTGCTGAATGCAGACACTAAATTGTATGCAAAGCTGTTGGCTTCGCGTATCAAACCACTACTACTAGACATGGTCTCACCGGAACAAGCAGGATTTGTCCCACTTAGACAACCAGGCGACAACACTCGCCACTTCCTAAACCTAATCCATTGGGCACAATCGTCCCACCAACAGGGCATACTACTAGCGTTGGACGCTGAAAAAGCGTTCGACCGCCTCAATTGGACATATATGCTGGAAGTATTAGCTAAAATGGGGTTCCCCCTTCCGTTCCAAAATAGCATAATGGCCCTTTACTCAAGTCCAATGGCTAAGGTATATAACACGGGCTTTCTCTCCAGGCCATTTACAATCACGAAGGGGACCAGGCAGGGCTGCCATCTCTCCCCACTGATCTTCATCCTCTGCATGGAACCGCTGATTCAGCACATAAAAACGACAGTTACAATCAGGGGACTGGCCACTCCGATAGGAGCCATGAAAATTGCACTATTCGCAGACGACACCCTGCTGTTCATTACAAAACCGTCCCAATCTCTGCCCCACTTAATACAACTACTAGACAGATACGGCAGAGTGTCCTACTACAAAACAATGCGAAGAAATCACAAGCCTTAGCCCTCCGCCTGCCCCAACGCACTTTACAAACCTCAAAGCTAAATACCCGTTTGATTGGCGAAAAACGTCACTCTCATATCTAGGCATCCAGCTACCCGCCTCAATTAATACAATACCCCAAGTTAACCACATTCCACTCTTGCACAAACTAGACTCCCAGCTCAGACAATGGGAAGATAAAGGCACATCATGGCTGGGTCGTATCAATACGGTGAAGATGATGATCTTACCGCACATCCTATATCTCTTTAGAACCCTGCCTATACAGATCCCAAACACATTGCTAAAAAGATTCCAATCCACTATAAATGCACATATATGGAATAGGAGGCCCCCCCGCATCTCCCAAAATCTTCTCTGGCGACCCTTCTCGAAAGGAGGCCTGAGCATACCCAACATACAGCTATACTACCGAGCTTCAATAATGGCACAAGGCATAACGATACTAGAACGAATGACACCTCCCATATGGCTAGCGCTGGAAAACGCAAGTCTGACACAGGGAACTATAGAAGAAGCACTGTGGGCTAGTTACTACCACCGATCAATACACCCCACCATGTTACCTACTACAGAACTAATGCTTAGTACCTGGTCGAAGGTAACCCAAAAACTAGGAGTAAGCAGAGACCTCTTGTATGCAGCACCCCTAAGATCGCTAACACTATACACGACAGATATGTGTCTAGATGCATGGACTAGCCACGGCATCTCCCATGTATATACTCTATTCGACACCGCGGGCATGCTACCCTTCCCAAAACTGCAACAGACTTTCACCCTCTCCTCCAGAGAATTATTCACATACCTACGCGTAAAGAATATACTTCACGAACAGAAATTACTCAACGGTAGTACAGTTCCCAAATCACGATTTACCCTCAAATGCCAAGGGAATCTAAAAAATACCAAAGCCCTGTCCTTTTGCTACACCTCTCTCATGCAACTGGGAGACAAGGAACTTCCCCCAAACATGCGCCTCTGGGAGAAGGACCTGAACATAAAAATCCACCCGAAAGCATGGCAGCTGGCTCTAGAGAGAGTCAAAAAAGCCACACATAGCTTAGCCCATAGAGAAGCATACTGCAAACTAACAATGAGATGGTACTTAGTACCCACGCGCCTGGCGCACATATTTCAGGGCACAACTCCCCTATGCTGGAGATGCCAAGAGCACGAGGGCACGCTGTTCCATATATTCTGGTCCTGTCCACTCATCACAAAGCTGTGGGATGAGGTGGAACAGTTTCTCCTAACAAAAGTAAAAATTAAGGTCCCAAAAACCCCAGCAAGCTACCTTCTACATTTGTTTCCCCACTCCCCCAGCGACGACGAAATACAGATTCTTACCCATTGCCTTATAGCAACAAAAATAACAATAGCGCATAGGTGGAAACAAACTCACTGCCCAACCCTATCAGAAGTCCTGACGAGACTAGACACGACAAGTAATTATGAGTTGATGCGCCGCCGTATCCGGAATAAAGAGCATAAGCACTCCAAATGCTGGCAGAAATGGGTTCAGATAAGGGATTAATGTATGTGATGGTTATCTCACAGACTTAGCCAATAAAAGTCCAGCAAGAAAGACAACACGACAGCCTAAATTGCTATCACACTATGTTCCCCTAACCCCCCACTACACCGATAACCCCCAGTCCATGAAGGTCACCAATGACAAGTGCAGAACAAAATGGACAGATTTATAGAATACCAGCAATAGAACAGAAGACCCAACAGACAAAACGGCCACATCGGGGACCGCAGACCAGTGGTGTATCCTGGTTTTGTGCTGCCCTAGGCAGGACAAAACTCAGGCACCCCCCCGCGCCACCCCCACCCGCGCAACCGGCACCCAACCTTCCCCCCTGCTCCGCCTTCTAAATACACACACACACATTCACTGACAGATACGCATTCACTAGCTAACAGAAACACACACTCACTAACAGACACACACACTCACAGGCAAACACACACACACTAACAGGCAAACACACACACATCCACACTAACACTAACATACATACACTAACATTAACATACACACTAACACTAACATACACACACTAACACTAACATACACACACTAACATACACACACTAACACTAACATACACACTAACAGACACACACTAACAGACACACACTAACAAACAGACACACACTAACAGACACACACTAACATACACACACTAACACTAACATACACACACTAACATACACACACTAACACTAACATAAACACACTAACACTAACATACACACACTAACACTAACATACACACTAACAGACACACACTAACAGACACACACTAACAGACACACACTAACAGACACACACTAACATACACACTAACAGACATACACACACTCACTAGTGTTTTTATTTTTATTTTTTTATTTAACCCCCCCCAGCCTCCTTACCTTTGGTAATGCTGGGGGGGGTTCTTCCTCTCCCTGGGGTCCAGTGGCTGCAGCGCTGGGCGGGCGGCCGGCAAGGGAGCTCTTCCCCTGAGCGCTCTGCTCAGCTCCCTCGCGCGCCGCCAGCAGAGTGAGGCTGGGAGCCGGAATATGACGTCATCAACCCGGCTCCCAGCCTCACTCTGCTGGCAGCGCGCGAGGGAGCTGAGCAGAGTGCTCAGGGGAAGAGCTCCCTCGCCGGCCGCCCGCCCGCCTGCCCGCCCAGCGCTGCAGCCACTGCCGCCCAGCGCCCAGAATGTCTGTTAGCCGCGAGGCTAACAAGACATTTGCCTTGGGCATTTGGGGGGCGGTGTTTTGCCGCCCCCTGAAAAATGCCGCCCAAGGCAAATGCCTTGTTTGCCTCGCGGCTAATACGCCCCTGCCGCAGACGCAACAGAGCTAACATATAATATGCAGAGACCGCACCCCAAGCTGACCACCTATAGCTTATAAGGCGACTCCCAGCGACATAGGCCTTTAGAAGCTACCATAGGTCTTCACCCTTGACGATAGCTCACCTCAGCACTTGCTGACCCTTGCTCAATCAACAACACCCCAAGATGCGGCCCAACCAATTAACTAATTGACCAACCAACTACCTGACTAGTATACTTATGAAGGTACTTGAAACGTAAGGGGCATTCGAATAGTGATGTTTCTATGATCTGCATTGTCAAAAATATATGTCGGAAACCTGTTGACTATGTGTAATATGTACATGCTCTCCCCCCTTCTTTTATTTCTGTACCCCTCTTAAGTTGATACGTAATATCACACGAAACCAATAAAAAATTTAGACAATGAAAAAATAAATAAATAAATAAAATTACAAAAATAATTAAAAATAAATAATTAAAAAATATATAGATGTGTGTTATTTCGTTCTAAATGTATTGTGACATTAATATATATATATATATATATATATATATATATATATATATATATTTGTGTTAAGGGCTCATGATAGTACAGAAGATACAAACATTGATAAGTATGGGATAGTGTGAAAGAGCAAGTCGGTTGTGGTGTGCCGGAACCGACGATGAGGTAGGCCTGTAAATAAAGAGGGCCCACCAATAAGAAATGTATGAGAAAAAGGAGTTAATAAAAGAGGAGTGGGTGGGAGGGTGATGCAGCGCTGACCTCGAACGGTATGGAGCCAGGTAAGGGGTGTCCCTTAAGTAGGGAGAAGGTGAGTCATACGCCCCTCCCACAATTACAGGCCAAAAGGCCTTAATACTTGTGTTAAGGGCTCATGATAGTACAGAAGATACAAACATTGATAAGTATGGGATAGTGTGAAAGAGCAAGTCGGTTGTGGTGTGCCGGAACCGACGATGAGGTAGGCCTGTAAATAAAGAGGGCAAAAGTAGAAAATATACTTTATTACGAAACGAGCAGTATACATACTTCAACCAGACATATCTTGAAAGGCATTTCTAACTTCTTGTACTGGGTTAGGTATGTATCTAGAGTATGCAGAAGACTTCCAGCGCCCTAGTGATTTGATAACATGTACTGGAATGTTTGCACTGGACGCTGTGGAGGCCGCCCCTATGCGGAAGGAGTGGCCCGAATAGTTAGCTGATTTTAGGCCTAGTTGTGTAAGTAGGGACCTGACGTGGGTCATGAAGGTGGTGGTAGTGAGTACCGAACCTTGTAGACAGAAAAGTGGTTGAGATGGTGATGCTTTGAAATGCTGAGTATAGGTGTCCAGTAATGTGACGGGGCACCACACGTTGTGGGTAGGATAGTATCTAACCTCTACCGGGGGTGCGTGTTGATTGGTTTTGGAGTGATGCAGAGCTAAAATATAGTAATCCATGTGTTTCGTTAAGTGTGAATGAAGCAGAATGTGAGTGGACTTGGATGTGTTGATGGCGGTAAATTCTCTTGGTCTCAAGAAACCATAAAAAGCTACGTATATGGCGGTTTTTATAACAAGGTTTGTGTTGTTCGCAAAGGGTTTTGAATCTAGTAGGCTGGATAAATCCTTGAAGATATTGAAGTCTATAGGTAGCCTTTGCGCGGTACGTGGGGGTTCGGATCTCTGGATACCTCTAAGGATGTTTTTGATCTGGTAGGAGGACATGAAACTTGTGTTGTTTGGTTGTAATGTTAGCATGTGATGTTGTATGCCTGTCAGATATAGCTTGATTGTGTTGTGAGATAATTTAAGTTTGAGGTGGCAAAAAGAAGCAAAACCTAACAAAGATGTCATGATGAAAGGTTGTGTGACGTTGTGCAGTGACAGGAATCTTTTAAATAGAAGGAAAGCCCTGTCATATGTTCTCCGGGTATTGGTGGACAGTGCTAATTGTGCCAATGTCCTGCTATGTTGCATAATAGCTTCTAGTCCATGACTAGCTGGTGGAAAGGTGGAGTGGTCGTGGCTGTACGTGCGGCTGACGGAAGTATTTGCCGAAAAGCCTGAAAACTGAAACGAGACAAATTGTCAGCAGCCGTGTTACAAACACCTGGGACATGGACACAAAACAAGAAGAAATTGTGGCATGCAGCTAGCCAGGTGAGTTTCCTCAAGAACCTCATAATGGTCAGTGACTTGGATCGGCCTTTGTTTATGATGTGGCAGGTAGCTTGGTTGTCTGAGTGGCAACGTACTGACGAACCTGCCCATAGATGCCCCCATGTAACGGCAGCTGCTACTATGGGATACATCTCAAATAGAGCTGAGGTAGTGGAAAACCCTTCCAGGTCCTGTACCTCTGGAGGCCAGCTACCCCAAAGCCATTCATTCCCGTAAATTGCTGCAAAACCTGTGGTAGACGCCGCGTCTGACCAGATGGTAGGTGAGGAGTCAGACAATTCAGGGAGAAACATGCTTTTCCCATTCCAGGTGGTCAAAAAGTTTCTCCACATAAGTAGGTCTGCCGTGGCTTGGGTATCCAGTGGTAACCTGTGTGCATCATGTCTAAACAGTGGGAACATGGTTAGGAGCCGTGAGATGAAAGCCCGGCCTTGAGGTATTATGCGCATGGCAAAGTTCAGTGACCCAAGTAGAGACTGTAATTCTTTGCGATTGCAAGTACCGAGGTGTATGTAGAGGTTAATGTTGGTGAGAATGTTCTCTATCTTGGTGCGTGGCAGGCTGGCTTGCATGGTGGCTGAGTCTAGCATGATTCCCAGAAAGGTGATGACTGTATCTGGTCCTTCAGTTTTGGTGGGGGAGACTGGAACACCCACCTGTTTAAAAAGACTGATGGTTGCTATGAGGCTACTGGGAGGGGAAGTGTTCTCTTCGATCAGTAAGAAATCATCCAGGTAGTGTATAACTGTAGGGCATCTGGCTACATTTAATAATAACCAGCATAATGTTTCGGCGAATACGTCGAAAATGGCCGGACTACTTTTTGAACCAAACGTTAGGCGTGAGAAAAAGTAGTAGTGCCCGGCCCACTTAATGCCATGCAGGTGCCATAGTGTAGGGTGGATAGGCAATAATTTGAAGGCATTTGTAATGTCAGTCTTGCTGAGCCATGCTCCGACCCCTGCCTGCATGATAGCTGTAATGGCGTGATCTATGGTGGAGTATTGAAGTGAAAATTCCTCAGAGGGGATAAGGGAGTTCAGACTAGGTGAGGCAGAGGTGTGAGGTGCAGACAGATCGATGATAAGTCTTTGTTTGTGGGAAGATTTCCCTGTGACAATACCGATGGGGTTTGTCCGCCATGTGGAAAAAGGAGGGGACTGAAAGGGTCCCAATAGGAAGCCCTCTGCCACTTCTTTGGCTATGAGTGTGCTAACCGCTGTAGGGTTTTGTTGTGCAGATTGTAAATTAGGACATTCAAGGATTCCTGAAGGCATGTGTATGAGACCAGTATGGAATCCTTGTGATAGACCAGTGATGATGAAGTCTACCAAATGTCTGGATGGATGTCGTGACAGTAATGCCGTGAGTACAGAAATATTTATCTCGGTTAAGTATTGCTTAGGGTACATTTTATTTGGACACATGGTTTTCGCATGTGCCCTAAAACATTTTGAACATATATGCAATAACCGACAACCGCTGTAATTACATGCACCGACATTGAAATTATTACATATTTGGGACTTCCCCAAAAACTTGATAGGTCGACCCAGTTTGTCTTTGGGTGTTCTCTCTGCTGACACAGCGGAGCTAGTGCCCTGCGAGGTGGTAGGTTCGTTCGCAGTGGTCGGACAAAAATTGGCAGTATGAGCCATGGAGGAGCAGTGTGCACAGGCCGGTGCTCTTAGACCTGCAAAGTGCCTGCAAAAATGATCGTATCAATCTTACTCCAGTTGGACCTTGTCCCGTACTGTGAGAAGGCGCCAGACACTTTGGCAGAAAAGGATCTATGGTAGTCATAGAAAGCTGACCCACCATATTTGTTGCCCAGATCAACCAGCCTGTGCATATATAAGTCAAACTCCTCACGTCTGTGGGGATATACCGTACAGACCACATCCCGATAAATGCCAAAAGCTAATACAAATTCTGGAATGGTTAGCTTCCTATTTAATCGTGCATCCCTGGATTTGACCACCACAGAAATATCGTCATAAGCGTAGGTCTTATGTTCCACTATATCCTGGGAGGCAATTAGTAGTGAGGCCAGATTGACATCTTTACCTTCCAGGATATCTCTCCTGAGGTGCTCAGGAATCATGTGGGCAGGGTAAACTTCTTGGTCATCCGAGGTGATAGCTGGAGAAACTGATTGCAACTCCACCACTGATGGGGGAATTGCCGTGGCCGGTCCAGCCATAGTGAGGGCTGTAGTGACCGATTCAAGTTTCTCCAGCCTAGAATTGACCTTGCTCATGGATGTCATGAGGGACGTGAGCATGTCATGTATGTTCCCTGGGTGGGACTGGCTCGACCCTTCCCCAGCGTCCGTGTTATCGGTTGAGGTGTGTAATAATCTGTAAAGTTCCGCTTTCCTTGCTGTTGCTGGAAAAGGGATTTGTCGTCTCCTGAGTTCGCTAGTGATACGAGGGATAGTCCATTACCTCCGAAACGTTGAGGCGGGGTGTTGGCCTCGCGGACCACTAAACGATAGGCAGAATGCCTGGAGGGGGGATACCTATTTGGGCCTATAACCCCTAAAATTGCCAGTACTCTATGTCCTAAGTAGAGGAGGAACCATATGTGATGTATGGCGTGAGCAGGCTTAACGTACCTGGTAGTATGTATGCGTTTGATAAGCGATAGGTAGAGAAAACTGGAAAAACCTAAAGGGATAGAAAAACCAAATATGATAGTGTGAGAATTGGATCCTATGATACCAATTTAGACTAGTTAGTTGTGGTGAGTTCTAGTAGTACATATGGAAGGGAATATATGAATGATATTGGCCCGACTGGCCCTGTCTGTGGTATGGTAATCATGCTTGGGGGTGTGTATGATATGTCTCTATGGTGACCAGATTTAATAGTAATGCTAGTGTTTGTAGTATAATAAGGTGCAGGATTTAAAACAATACCGTATATGTTAGGCCGTAAACGTAAGCCATGAAAAGAGGTAAGTACGAGGTACAGAAATATTTGAGAAGTTATCCCAATTAGGAAACAACGTGATGTATGAGTGGTTGAATCAAGACGTGTGATTCAACCCGAAAGTTTGTGAGATTTATGAGACCGTGTTCTTGTGTACTTGGTATGTCGTTTGAGTACACAAAGAAAAAGTCAGAATATATAAGTGCCATGTAAGAAACGTGAGTACATGGTATGATAGAAACGTAATTTCTAAACATAATTTATAACGTAAATCCTACAAAAGATATCTGTAAAATGTAAAAGCTTGTCTAAGCTTAACTCCATAAATAAATGTATATAACATGAAGAATTTCAATAAAACTTTAATGATACCATATCTGCTAAAAGATTAAACCATAACCTAAATAAACACTTATTCATAAGTAGTTAACAGGGGTATTGCCCCAGTCATGCAAGGATTTTGTAATTTGCATAAAATAATTAACAGTAATAACATGAAACCAATTATAGCTGATGATATGCATAACAAGTTTGCTTAATACAAGAAAAACCGAACCGATATGCCTGCCGGCAGCAAAGGGGTTAATATGCCTGTGACTTGGCCGTAAAGCGTGTGGCCGTAAAGTAAGGCCGTTTAAAATCGCGACGCCGTGGGAAATGATCCGGGCGACGGACTTACGATTTTGAAGTCCTGTGGACTTAATCTGCGACGAAAACACCGGGTATGTGCGTGGCTGAACGGGCGGAAAACCTGTAAGGATTCCTGGACACAGCTACACCAAAACGAAAACCGCGGGTTTTGAAAAGCAAGATGGCGCCGTACGTGAACCGGAAGTGGATTCTCGATGCAGCGCTGACCTCGAACGGTATGGAGCCAGGTAAGGGGTGTCCCTTAAGTAGGGAGAAGGTGAGTCATACGCCCCTCCCACAATTACAGGCCAAAAGGCCTTAATACATATCAAAATACACGTAGAACGAAATAATATATATATCTATATACATAAATATATACGTATATATACCTATATATAAATAAAAATATTTTTTAAAAATTATAGATATATACATATATAAACATATACATATATATATACACATATATTAATTCTACATATATATTTATGTAATATTTTTACATTATTAGGTATCTTAATTAATTACAATTAGCAGGACCTCCCATGCCAAAAGTAAAGGGAATTTAATTTGCTAGCACTATATTTAACCCTATAACTTTCCAAGACACCATAAAACCTGTACATGGGGGGTACTGTTCTACTCGGGAGACTTCGCTGAACACAAATATTAGTGTTTTAAAACAGTAAAATGTATTACAACGATGATATCGCCAGTAAAAGTGAAGTTTTTTGCATTTTTCACTCACAAACAGCACTTACACGGACGATATTATTGCTGCGATACTTTTTACTGTTTTGAAACACAAATATTTGTGTTCAGCGAAGTCTCCCGAGTACAACAGTACCCCTCATGTACAGGTTTTATGGTGTTTTCAAAAGTTACAGCGTCAAATATAAGGCTTGCGTTTCATTTTTTTCACATTAAAATTCGCCAGATTGGTTAGGTTGCCTTTGAGACCCTATGGTAGCCCAAGATTGAAAATTACCCCTATGATGGCATACCATTTGCAATAGTAGACAACCCAAGGTATTGCAAACGGGGTATGTCCAGTCTTTTTTAGTAGCCACTTAGTCACAAACACTGGCCAAAATTGGCGTTTTTTGCATTTTTCACACAAACAAATACTAACGCTAACTTTGGCCAGTGTTTGTGACCAAATGGCTACTAAAAAAGACTGGACATACCCCATTTGCAATACCTTGGGTTGTCTACTATTGCAAATGGTATGCCATTATGGGTGTAAATTTCATTCCTGGGCTACTATACAGTCTCAAAGGCAACATAACCAATCTGGCGAATTTCAATTTCAAATGTGATGTACTATATTTGACCCTGTAACTTCCCAAAACGCCATAAAACCTGTACACAGGGGGTACTGTCTTACACGTGAGACTTTGCTGAATACAATGTCAGTGACAATGTATAATATAATACAGATACTATAATTAATGGTATAAAATAAACACATAATGTGTTAATTACAAAGGTGGATAGACTTTGTGAATATCTGAAACACAATTGAAGATTATTGCTAAAATGCCATATGCAGCTGCAGTCTGGCCTACAAATATATTAGACAAAGTATAAGGGCATAACAGCTAATTACCCAAATGAATAATGGAATCATGATAATTAAAGATCATATGATTATGATAACAGCTGCAATAATGAATGTTTTTAACCTCAAAAGAAAATTTAAAATGTTTTTATTAAATCAGAAACTACTCGATATTCGTTTAAGTTTGCAGAGTGGTATAATTAATATAATCTAATTAATATAAGTGAAGTACTTCAACAGTTAAGATTTAACTGAAAGACAAGCAGAAACCTTACTTCACTTATCACAAACCTATATTTACAATGATAAACATATTCAGTCTGCCAGAGCTAAGGCCAGTCAATGGAAAGTAAAAGAGTATTGTGGATTAACCCGTCCAGGTGATATACATGATGATTTTGGAAATTGATCATTTAGGTCACTTATTGTAAACTAGTGAAAAGATGTCAAAGATATAGATTCAACATCCATACCACTCTCTCTCTATATATATTAAAATACACGTAATCAAATATTTTTCAAATACCAAGAAAATGTTATTTGGTTTGTGATGGTTAAAGGTACATATACATGCATATGATTATTAATTCATATTCTGATTGTAACATACCCCCCCCCCTCCCCTTCAAACAGTTATAGTTACAACAGATTCTGATATATATTGTTATGAAAGTGTTAAAACCACTTATACAAAGGTAGAGTTAAAATATAAATACCTTCAATATAGTATCTGAGTGCTTTCTTAACTCACTTTTAGAGATAATAAAAAATTCTAATCATCTTAAGCTACACCCAACAGCCACTGAAAAAATATACTTAACCCCTTAAGGACACATGACATGTGTGACATTTCATGATTCCCTTTTATTCCAGAAGTTTGGTCCTTAAGGGGTTAAACAATTAAGATTCACAGTGTTAAGCATCCAATCTCACAAACGGGACTTTCCACAATGGCTGTCAGATCTTGGTTAAAAAAAAAAAAATGTTTTTAAGACAATTTTTGGGTGTTTCTGGTATTGTAAGCCACTAATAACTAGGGAATAAGTTGTCTTCTCCCTAACAGGTCAAAGAAAGATAATTAACGTCATATTTCCAATTAGCAACTATTCGAAATAGATTGAGAGATTTTGAATAAAGGAGTATTTTTAACATTTAAAGAGAATGTAATTTTACATACCATTGTGAACAAAGGCGGTAAATACTTTGCTGCTTCAAATTATCCTTTTATATCTTCATAACTTCAAACATTTATGTCTTTACACTATATTCACAATCAGTGCATTGTAGTAAACATTTTGAAAAGTTTAGATACTCCTGTTATTTTACATCTAGATCATTACACTGATGAGTATTTACTAAAAGAACACATTTTGTAATATTTAAATATTGGTCTTAAAATTGATTACATTTGGTATTTTTCCATTTGATTTGCACAACATAAATGCTTTGAAGGTGTAAAATATATTTTATGGAGGCACAACTTACAAAGTTAAACTTTTTGTTGTAAATACAGTTGTATTTTTTGCAGTAGATCCGTAGACCAGCTCTGCACATCTCGATGAGTTATTGTCCATTCTTAGCCAGATTGCTTCAACTTAGTCAACGACCGCTTTTTTTCAGATTTCCATTTCAGAACTTTCCAGTTCTTGAGTGCCCTCCATACCCAGTCACTGGGTTTTAGTGGAGAACCTGCTGTAGGTAGATGTAAGGCTTACTGTGTCTGCGTCCCAATAGTAACTATGTTACTATTTCATCTATCATTATTATACAAAGTATAACAAATGTAAAGATTTTTTTTCATAGATGTTTCTTTGAGCAATAACCTCAGTGCATAATATGTTTGCGCCATTTTGTCCCAGACGAATTACAATAACAATAATGCATAAACAAGCTTCAAGGCTATGCTATGACTCTTTCAGTACGTAATATACTGTGGTAACCTTAGTAGATAAGGATGTTCAGACTTTAAGATGCCATCTTGAACTAAGTCAGGAACATTTCCATGACGTATACACCCTTTAGTTATGGCCTTGTATGTTTGCCAAATTAAGGGAGGTCCTAAAATGAATAAAGTAAAATAAGTGTTACTTTTTCATATATGAACTACGGTAACCCTAAAATGAAGACACCTAAGGTATAAATAGGTGTACTTTTAAATGTTAAGACACAGAGGAGAGACTTGGAGACAGACGCTGCTTCATCTTAAAATGACAGAGAGGCTGACATGATGACGTTCAGAAGGGTATGTTAACCTATTAATGATATTTGCAAGCATTTAATTTAATCTTAGAAACTCTGCTATAATGGATTTTATATGTCTATATTTATATTTTTTTATAATAAATATCTAAAAGACAAAACTATTGCTTACACTAACTATATAAAATTATAGCTAAGATATCTGTATGGTTAGCCCTACTAAGTTCTATGCTTTAAGACATTATAGTGGTAAATAAGGGAACCACCTGCGGTTACACAAGAAATGCACCGCAGGCCGCAAATGGTTTTTTTTGTGTGTCCCAATATTTTGGGGGCTTCCCCAATTAAAATAAATATACAAACCTAGCCACTTGTAACAATCTGGACTATGTGTATAAAAAGGTTGCCTGTATTATTCCTGTACTTCTTGTATTTCCTGGCTGTACCCTGTGTGTTAATGTGGTGTGGGCCCTTAAAAAGTTACAGCCGTATCTCTACGGACATTCTTTTTCCGTGCTCACAGATCACAACCCGTTGGTGTGGCTAAACCGTGTGGCTGGAGACAATGCCAGGCTGCTGCGCTGGAGTTTGGCGCTACAGCCTTTTGAATTCACAATCCATTATCGCCCGGGAAAACAAAACGGTAATGCCGACGGCTTATCCAGACAGACTGAACTTGTGAAGTGATCTGTGACCACTCCTCTGGACATCCCCAAGCCGATCCGTTGGGATCAGACTGTGTATGCCGGCTTGGTTCTTCGGGAGCATTGTGGCAAACCTTGCCACTTGTAACAATCTGGACTATGTGTATAAAAAGGCCTGTATTATTCCTGTACTTCTTCTATTTCCTGGCTGTACCCTGTGTGTTAATGTATGCTGCATTGAATTCGTATGCTAGCTGCCGAAAGCCGCTAGCATTCATGTGTTTCGTTTCACGAACAGCAACATTGCGGGCTGTTCGTAAACCGAATGAGCTACCCCTTAATAGCCCACACAGAGAGGGATGTGTGGCGCTCGTTAACCGATTGCAACAATATTGCAATCGGTAATTAGAGGCTTTCCTAGGTGGCCGTCGTTCGGCTACCGACCACGCGGCGGTCGGCCATCTTGGATCCTTTGTCTCCCCAGCGGTGTTTGGTCGTCAAGCGCTTGGAACTGAAAACGGCTACTCGACGGCGCGAACACCGCTGGGCTTCCAGGCCGTTCAGGAGCTCCGGTCTTTCGCTATTAGGGTTTCCTCATCGGTGTTCGGTACTTTGGGGCGAACTCAATGGCAAAGTGTATTTTGTGCGGCGTTCGGTTGTTTTAGCTGGGATCTGAGTGGTATTCTCACGAACTGTGCACTCAGACCCCAGCTATCTACCGAACGTCCATTCATTTAAATCTGCCAAGTATTCGAAAAGTTATAGATTTTAATGTAAATTGTCGGTTCTGCTGCACAGAGGGATAATCCACTTAACGGTATATTCCAGTGGGAGTATCCCTCTCGTGCAGCAGTGCCTGATGGGAGAAAAGGTCTGAATATAAAGTCCCCCATGTAGTCCCCTACTGTATTACCCCTGCTATGACAGTATTGAAACCCCTTACACGGGGACTTGCATAAATACTGGATGCTGTGAATAAAAAAGTCAGTTGACTCCCAGAACTGTGTTTCGTGCGGTTACTGGGGGATTTGGGATATTGCCTTACTTTTCAGCGCTTGACTGTGGATTACCTTCTGTACCAGCGGAGTTCGTGGGATTTAATATTGCCGCTCCGCTACAATTGGTGGCAAGCAACGGGATCCAACCTTACAGCCGAAAAGCGCCGTTCGGATAAAGAGAAATTACCGAACGAGAAAAGGGAATGTCAATTCGTATGCAGCAGACAACCGAAAGAGAAAAGTGAATGGGGACGGATTACACTGCATTGAAAAGGCAGACACTAAAGGAACTGCTGGAAGCCAGGGGAAAGATAGCCAGCAACAAGCCGAAAGCAGTGCTGATGGAGGGAGACAGAGCTCACAGCAGTACACCCCCACCAGCCATGGAGGAAACCCCATACCAAAGGGAGATGCGAACCAGGATGGAGTTTCTGCCGCAGTCAGTACCCCTTGAAATATTGACCGTGCTGATGGCGGATGTGCAGGAGTATATCATGGCACACCGTCCAGGGCGGAATCCATTACTGCCTCCATCTACGGCCAGGTAAAACCCAAAATCCCTTACCAGGCTTTCAAAATGTTTTGTGAGGAGAAGGATGAGATTGATGGATATTTACAAGATGGAACAGGCAGTATGGGTGCCGTTACTGGCAGGCAAATTGGCAGGTCGGGCAGCAGAAGCCTATCGCGCTGTACCCAGAGAGGACAACAAAGACTATGCAAAGGTAAAAAGAGCAATGATGGAAAAATACGCCATTACTCCGGAGGCATAAAGGCGCAAATTCAGAGAATTGCGCAAACAGGAGAAAGATTCTCATGCTGAATGGGCGCACAAGCTGGATCAAGCATCACAGGGGTGGATACAGGCAAGTCAAGCCACCACTATGGAGGAGTTGTGCCAATTGATGTTGTTAGAGCAATTCTTTAATGGTTTGTCCCCAGAGGCACAAGAATGGGAGACCGCAAACCTCTCACCCTAACTGAAGCAGCCCGATTAGCAGGTCAACATTTCGACGCAAGGAGGCACCATGGGCCCTTAAATCGGAATTACCCTCGAAACACTGTACAGCCCAGTACAGTCACACCTACGACTTCCACCGCAACCCCCTTTAGACCGACCCAGGGGAACCAACCTCCACCCTCACGATACAATGGCAGGGCAAACATCCAATGCCATACCTGCAGGCAGTGGGGACATATGTCTCGAGAGCACGCAGAACAGGAGCCGACAAGCCTGGAACCAAGTCCGACAGAACTCTGCACCTAGGGCCGCTGCTCATCACTACCAAGTGGAACCAGACACCCAGGAGATATTGAGCGTTCAGGCAGAGGAACCCCTGGGAATACTGCATGAGGTGATGTCAGTACAAGCCACTGACAACCGGCAACATCATCGCCAACTAGTGACAGTAGAGGGAAAAGAAGTACAGGGACTCCGGGATTCAGGAGCCACCTTAACTTTGGTAGCACCCCATCTGGTTCCAGATACAGCACACACTGGCAGATCTGTGGCGGTACGAGTGGCAGGGGGAGCAATGTACCGACTACCCACTGCCAAAGTACATTTGAACTGGGGTGCTGGGGAGGGGGTGGTAGAAGTGGCCATAATGAAGAAGTTACCTGCAGATGTGGTGCTAGGAAATGACTTGGGCCGGAAGACCTCTGCATTTATACCGCAAGCCCCACTTCAGGAAGCTCATCCCGTGACCACCCGGCAGCAAGCTCGCACCACGGTTCCACCAACACACTCTGAGGCTCAGGTAAGAGACAATGACACCCCTACGACACGTATGACCTGGGATACCCCGAATACATTTGAGGCAGAGGTTAAGTTAGACCCCACGTTGCAGGTCTACCGAGTCCGGGTGAGCACAGATCAGGCCGGGTTAGAGGGGGAGCGGTATACCTGGGAGAAAGGGTTGCTGTATCGTGTGGCAGAAAGAGTAATAGGGGGATCAGTCACGGTAATGACTAAACAGTTAGTGGTCCCCCAGAAGTATAGGCAGGAACTGCTTGGAATTGTGCATGATATTCCTTTGTCTGGGCATCTGGGAATGACCTGTACCCGGTACCGGCTGACCCACGCCTTTTTCTGGCCAGGGATTTCCAAAGATGTGAGACATTACTGCAACTCCTGTGACATTTGCCAGCGAGTGGGGAAGAGGGGTGACCACCACAAAGCAAAATTATGCCCCCTACCCATTATTGAAGAACCATTTAGCAGAGTGGCAGTAGACATAGTGGGACCCTTGCCCAAGCCTAGTCTCTCAGGTAAGAGGTATATCCTGACCGTAGTGGACTACGCCACCCGGTACCCCGAGGCTATCGCCCTGTCTAATATCCATGCAGAAACTGTGGCCGAGGCTTTAATTAAAATCTTCTCCAGGGTTGGGTTTCCCCAGGAGATAATATCTGATAGGGGTACCCTGTTCACCGCCGAGGTCACCCAGCAACTGTGGAGGATATGTGGCATCAAGCCGATAGTAAACTCAGCATATCACCCCCAGTCCAACGGTTTATGGGAAAAGGTTTAATGGTACCCTGAAGCAGATGCTCCGTACGTTTGGAGAGGCCCATAAGGACTGGGAGCGATTCCTACCTCATCTGCTGTTTGCTTATAGAGAGGTACCACAGGAGTTGACTGGATTTTCCCCTTTTGAGTTGTTGTTTGGGGGAAGGGTGAGAAGGCCGTTGGACCTAATTAGAGAGCATTGGGAGGGAGAGAGTAGCGCTGATGGGACCCCCATTGTACCTTACGTGCTGGAGTTCAGGGACCGCCTGGAGATTGGTGCACACGGCCTGGGTATGACAGGGGAGCCAGAGACCGCAGCTTTCAAGTGGGACAGAATTTTTTTTTTATTTTAAAATCTGTCCGCACAGACAAGCTGCAGGCCATCTGGCAAGGCCCATACCAGGTGGTGGAACAGAGATGTGACACCACCTTTGTGATTGGCCCTGCTTAGGGGTAGGGAAGAGACGCATGTGTGGCAAAACCGACCTCGCCACGTGTCCTTGGAGGGGGCTGCTTGCCCGCCTCTTGCCTTTGGACTATGACCCTGCAGGTTAAACTGTTTATTTTCCCTGCAGAAAGGCTTATTCGTGTGATCTGAGTGCCATTCATCTAATAATGTGCAGTCAGATCCAAGCTATCTGGGGATATGTAGAAATGTGTGTTTTATGTACTAAATGTGTCAGTATGTAATTTTATGTCTTTTACTGTCTTTTGTCTGCCATGTGGGTAATGGAGTTTGGCTCTGTCTTTGGAGATAATTAGATTCCTTCTCCAATTATCTCCAGGGCAGAAGGGAGGAAGCCAGGATGCATTGTGGGGATGTTTTACTTTTACTGTTTGAGCCAGGGGGAACAAAAGATACTTTTACTAACTTTTGAACCCCTGGTCTGATTCATGCCATTTTTTAATATGTTGTTCCCCTGAATGGATTGATTGTGAATATGTATTTTTATGCGAATGTGATGTATATTTTGGGAGTTATGAATGTTGTGTAAAAACTGTATTTTCCCTACCTATGATAATTGTATTTCCCTGTGTGTACAGATAATTAGTTTACAGGTAGAGGGGAGGGCTATGTGTGGGATGTAACTATTGTGTGATTGGTTAATGTACGTTACTGTGTGTGTCCCTCCCCTTCATGGGAGCACCTAATAAAAAGGGCTGCAAGCTAGCAGCCAGAGAGTTCTATTTTTACCCTCAACTTGAGTCCTGTCTCTTATTGGGGGAATCTGCTACAAGGGATTGCTATGCTAGGCATATTCCCTTGCTATAATCACTGAGCTCTTGTAAGAGCTTGTTCCTGCTTCGTTCTGAAGGGAGATAGCTGCAGCCTGCGGTGCTTATGGTGTCTGGTGGAGTGCTTGGAGTCCTCTGGAAGCGCTAGGAGCATCTTTCAACGGAGGTACCCAGTCGGGGTGCCAGGTGATCCATTACATTGGTGGCAAGCGGCGGGATGGCATCCTAGTGCGAGGAGAAGCAGCTCGGAGACACCGGTAACGTGTGGAGTTGTGCAGCGTCCTTATCTTCAGCAACATAATGGAACCAGCAGTGGCTACAGCAAGCATGGCGTATAGCTACTCCGTACTAGAGTTTGGCACGATGGTAGGGTTGCACCTGAAGTTTTACGGACCCAATCCAGAGGAGAAATACGTGCGGTTCGTGTGGGACATGGTGACCCGGAACCTACAACACAGGGCGTTGAGGGAAGGCCAGTGGGCACGTTGGGAGAAACTCCAGCCACAGGTAGAGTGGGACGAGGAAGAAACCGAGGTGGCCGGTGGAGATGGGACCGAGGTCTCTCTACCGGCCCTACAGGGATGCTGGGCACCCGGCCCAGATCCCCAGCGGCAGTATGTTTTACAGGGAGGGGAGACAGTCGGTCTCACTCCCCAGCGGCAGAATGTGTTATTGGAGGAAGAGACAACCGGTCTCCCTCCCCAACAGCAACCAGAGGTACCCGAGGTAGAGGACCTCATAGACTGGTCCTGGGAGGACCCCCTGCAGGCAGGTGGAGATGGGACCGAGATCTCTCCACCGGCCCTACAGGGATGCTGGGCAACCGGCCCAGATCCCCAACTAGAGCTGGAGTTACAGAAAGTGGAGAGCATCGACCTCCCCCCCCAGCAGCAGCCGGAGTACCAGGGGGAGGTAAGTGATATTTCTCCTCCCCAGCCAACTCCTTTGTTCCCTGACCCCCCAGCAGAAGAGCTGGCAACTGGGCAGAGCGCCGCTGGCCTCTGTCCTCCCTTGTTTCCTTCCCCTGAGCCTGACTTTCTACAGGCTGCCCCAGCGGAAGGTGCCGTCCTTCCTCCCCAGCCGCAGTGCGTACCCCAGGGAGCTGATGGTGTCGTCCGTCCTCCCCAGCAGCAGTGTGTAACCCAGGGAGCCGAAGGTGTCGTCCTTCCTCCCCAGCGGCAGTGTGTACCCCAGGGAGCTGAGGGTGCAATCCTTCCTCTCCAGCGACAGTGTGTACCCCAGGGAGCTGAAGGTGTCGTCCTTCCTCCCCAGCGGAAGTGTGTCCTGCAGGGAGCAGAGACAGTCAGTCTCACACCCCAGCAGCAGGACAAAATAATGAAAGGGGAGACAGCTGGTCCGCCTCTCCACCAGCAGAGAGAGTGTCAGGGAGAGGAGCCTGTTAACCCCTCTCCCCAGTGGCAGTTGACAGTCCAGAGAGAGGAGCTTGTTACACCCTCTCTCCAGCGGCAGCCTAACCCACCAAGGGGAGATGTTGAGCCCCGCAACTGTGCAGATGGGACCGTAGTCTCTGCGCTTACAGCCCAAGGGGTAGAGACGGTCGGTCCTGTTCCCCAGCCCCAGAGCTGTGTACCCAGAGGGGAGACGGTCGGTCTCCCCCTCCCACAACCAGGCTCCAATCAGGCTACTTCGGTGGTAGCACTGGCACCAGGGCAGAGTACCGCTGGTCTCTGCCCACTCAGCAACCCACCAAGGCAGTCTACCAGCTCCCCACACAGCCGTGGTGAGGCACCTGGACATGGACAAGTTGCTACTTTATCCAGGTGGAGTAAACATTTATTGTGGGTGGGCTGTACTGCTGTTTGTGCTTCGTGGGTGGGTTGCTGGACTAACCAGGGCACTGACCGGCAGGAGGTCAGATACCCTGTTAGTCTGGGGGGCAAAGGGGAGAAGTGTGGCAAAACCGACCTCGCCACGTGTCCTTGGAGGGGGCTGCTTGCCCGCCTCTTGCCTTTGGACTATGGCCCTGCAGGTTAAACTGTTTATTTTCCCTGCAGAAAGGCTTATTCGTGTGATCTGAGTGCCATTCATCTAATAATGTGCAGTCAGATCCAAGCTATCTGGGGATATGTAGAAATGTGTGTTTTATGTACTAAATGTGTCAGTATGTAATTTTATGTCTTTTACTGTCTTTTTGTCTGCCATGTGGGTAATGGAGTTTGGCTCTGTCTTTGGAGATAATTAGATTCCTTCTCCAATTATCTCCAGGGCAGAAGGGAGGAAGCCAGGATGCATTGTGGGGATGTTTTACTTTTACTGTTTGAGCCAGGGGGAACAAAAGATACTTTTACTAACTTTTGAACCCCTGGTCTGATTCATGCCATTTTTTAATATGTTGTTCCCCTGAATGGATTGATTGTGAATATGTATTTTTATGCGAATGTGATGTATATTTTGGGAGTTATGAATGTTGTGTAAAAACTGTATTTTCCCTACCTATGATAATTGTATTTTCCTGTGTGTACAGATAATTAGTTTACAGGTAGAGGGGAGGGCTATGTGTGGGATGTAACTATTGTGTGATTGGTTAATGTACGTTACTGTGTGTGTCCCTCCCCTTCATGGGAGCACCTAATAAAAAGGGCTGCAAGCTAGCAGCCAGAGAGTTCTATTTTTACCCTCAACTTGAGTCCTGTCTCTTATTGGGGGAATCTGCTACAAGGGATTGCTATGCTAGGCATATTCCCTTGCTATAATCACTGAGCTCTTGTAAGAGCTTGTTCCTGCTTCGTTCTGAAGGGAGATAGCTGCAGCCTGCGGTGCTTATGGTGTCTGGTGGAGTGCTTGGAGTCCTCTGGAAGCGCTAGGAGCATCTTTCAACGGAGGTACCCAGTCGGGGTGCCAGGTGATCCGTTACAGCATGCTCCACGTGAACATGCTCAAACCCTATCATGAGAGGATAGAGGACGTGACAGCCATTTGAACCCCAGCCTCTGAGGATCAGGAGAATCTGCCGCTACCTGACCTATTAGAACAGGACGACCAGACAGAGCCCTCCAAGAGGGTTCAACTGGGGGAGCGGTTAAGTCCTCAAGAGTGAGCCCAGGTACAAGAATTGATTGCGGCTAAAGGAGCCACCTTCTCCAATTTACCTGGGTACACTCCGCTAGCCACTCACCAAGTCGAGACCCCTGGACAGCTACCGATGCGGCAGACCCCATATCGAATCCCTGAAGCAGTCAGGGAACATATGAGGAAAGAGATTGAGGAGATGTTGCAGCTAGGGGTTATTGAACATTCCGATAGCCCCTGGGCATCGCCGGTAGTGCTGGTACCTAAGAAAGATGGTACAACACGGTTTTGTGTGGACTACCGGAGGCTAAACGACAAAACGGTGTCTGATGCCTATCCGATGCCACGGATAGATGAGCTGCTGGATAAGGTGGCACGAGGCCAGTATCTCACTACCATAGATCTATGTAAGGGATACTGGCAGATAACACTAGTCGAGGATGCCATCCCCAAGTCGGCGTTTGTCACCCCGTTTGGCCTGTACCAGTTTCGGGTCAAGCCCTTCGGGATGAAAAACACTCCGGCAACCTTTCAGCGGATGGTAGATCGGCTACTGGATGGGTTCCAGGAATATGCCTGCGCATATCTGGACGATATCGCCATATATAGCCAGACCTGGGCAGAACATCTGCAACACATAGGGGCTGTGATTGATCGTATTGGAGAGGCAGGATTGACACTGAAACCTAGCAAGTGTCATATAGGGATGGCAGAAGTACAGTACTTGGGCCACCGGGTGGGAAGCGGGCAACAAAAACCCGAACCAGCTAAAATTGAAGCCGTTGCTAAGTGGCCCACCCCTAGGACCAAGACCCAAGTACTCGTTTTCCTGGGCACCGCAGGGTACTGCAGAAAATTCGTGCCCAATTACAGTACCCTGGCCAAACCCCTGACTGACCTGACCTGCAAGAATCTGCCCCGACAAGTCGTCTTTTGCTGCTCCTGATCCAACTAAATGATTTCTTGTCCACACAGACGCTTCGATGTTTGCATTGGGAGCAGTGCTGAGCCAAGTTGGAGCCGATGGCGGAGAACACCCTGTAGCATATCTAAGCTGGAAATTGTTACCCCGAGAAGTAAGCTACGCCGCCATAGAAAAACAATGCCTGACCGTGGTGTGGGCCCTTAAAAAGTTACAGCCGTATCTCTATGGACAACCTTTTTCCCTGCTCACAGATCACAACTCATTGGTGTGGCTAAACCGTGTGGCTGGAGACAATGCCAGTCTGCTGCGCTGGAGTTTGGCGCTGCAGCCTTTTGACTTTACAATCCATTATCGCCCGGGAAAACAAAACGGTAACGCCGACGGGTTATCCAGACAGACTGAACTTGAGAAGTGATCTGTGAGCACTCCTCCGGACATTCCCAAGCCGATCCGTTGGGATCAGACTGCGTATGTTGGCTTGGTTCTGGGGGAGCATTGTTGCAAACCTAGCCACTTGTAACAATCTGGACTATGTGTATAAAAAGGTTGCCTGTATTATTCCTGTACTTCTTCTATTTCCTGGCTGTACCCTGTGTGTTAATGTATGCTGCATTGAATTCGTATGCTAGCTGCCGAAAGCCGCTAGCATTCATGTGTTTCGTTTCATGAACAGCAACATTGCTACCCCCTAATAGCCCACACAGAGAGGGATGCGTGGCGCTCGTTAACCGATTGCAACAATGTTGCAATCGGTAATTAGAGGCTTTCCTGGGTGTCCGTCGTTCGGCTACCGACCACGCGGCGGTCAGCCATCTTGGATCCTTTGTATCCCCAGCGGTGTTTGGTCGTCGAGCGCGTGGAACTGAAAACGGCTACTCGACAGCGCGAACACCGCTGGGCTTCCAGGCCGTTCAGGAGCTCCGGTCTTTCGCTATTAGGGTTTCCTCATCGGTGTTCGGTACTTTGGGGCGAACTCAATGGCAAAGTGTATTTCGTGCGGCGTTCGGTTGTTTTAGCTCGGATCTGAGCGGTATTCTCACGAACTGTGCATTCAGACCCCAGCTATCTACCGAATGTCCATTCGTTTAAATCTGCCAAGTATTCGAAAAGTTACAGATTTTAATGTAAATTGTCGGTTATGCTGCACGGAGGGATAATCCACTCCAGTGGGAGTATCCCTCTCGTGCAACAGTGCCTGATGGGAGAAAAGGTCTGAATGTTAAGTCCCCCATGTAGTCCCCTACTGTATTACCCCTGCTATGACAGTATGGAAACCCCTTACAGGGGGGCTTGCATAAATACTGGATGCTGTGAATAAAAACGTCAGTTGACTCCCAGAACTGTGTTTCGTCCGGTTACTGGGGAATTTGGGATATTGCCTTACTTATCAGCGCTTGACTGTGGATTACCTTCTGTATCAGCGGAGTTCGTGGGATTTAATATTGCTGCTCCGCTACTATATATATATATATATATATATATATATATATATATATATATAAAAAACAGTGTTGGCTACCTCCTCCTCCACCGCTGCTTCCACCTACACCATCACGGTCACCGCCTCCTCAACCTATGGGTCACTTAGTATAAACTATGTAGCAGAGGCTTGTAAATGCCTTTTCTCCATGCATCAGAAGTTGAGCATTTCTCCATGCATCAGGACTGCAAGAAATGCACCGCAGGCCGCAAATGTTTCTTTTTTTATATGTCCCAATATTTTGGGGGCTCCACATTTAAACCCCCCCCCAAAAAAAACCCCCCAAAACAAATAAAAAACAGTATTGGCTACCTCATCCTCCTTCTCCACCGCCGCTTCCACCTACACCGCCACGGTCACCGCCTCCTCAACCTATAGGTCACTTAGTATAAACTATGTACACAATAGTAGAGGCTTGTGAAGGCCTTTTCTCCATGCATCGGGAGTTGAGCTCAGTTTGAACAATGAAAGAGAATACCCTGCACTCCAACCCTCTCTCAAATGGATAATTCTGGTGATCCTCCTGACAGCCATGCTTTAGATTTTGATTTATGTTCTTCCAAAGCTAAAATCAAAGATTCCATCTAGTGCTATTTTATTGTTCAGCTGTATTTTTAATTTTTATGTTATTTTAAGTGATTTCCCTATCCACATTTGTTTGCAGGGCAGGGTCCTACTCTTACCCCCATTTTACTTCCTTTTGCAGCTCTCTAGCCCTTTCCAGGAGATTTTTAGAGGCATTTTTGTGCCCACAATTTCGGGTCCCCATTGACTTCAATGGGGTTCGGGTTCGGGGTCAAGTTCGAGCCTGAACCCTGATTTTTTTTCAAAGTTCAGCCGAACCCGCCGGACCCGAACATCCAGGTGTCCGCTCAACTCTACTATTGAACCATAAGATCCTAATTAGTAATGCAGAGAGGACATAAAGGAAAGGATTGGAAATATCTCAGTCTGCAAGATACCATTCAATCCCATTCGGCAGAGATCTTTAGAAACGTCCTTAAGGAACCGGCTTTAAATGCCGGAGGCCGGCATAGAATGCCCAAACAGTCCTTTCTACTTACCTGGTTGCCGGCGATCGCGGTATGGGGACTCACCTGGGAGCCCAGGGAGTCCCCCTCTGTCCTCTTCGGCCCCCCTGAGCCATGTGATCAGTGGCGTACATACCAGGGTCGCAGGGGTCGCGGCTGCGACCAGGCCCGGCCCACCAGGGGGCCCGGCCGCCCCTGCAACCTGGTATGTACCCACAGGGCCAGCCTCTTCCCCTGGGGGGTCCAGGAGGCGGCCACCTCAGGGCCCCCCCGAGGCTGGCCCTGCTGTCACCGGTCGGGCAGGCGGGAGGGTGCGCGAGGGAGCACTCAGTGCTTCCTCTTCAGCTCCCTCGCGCACCGCACTGATGCCGGAGCCGAAAGATGACGTCATCTTCCGGCTCCGGCATCCCTATGCGGCGCGCGAGGGAGCTGAAGAGGAAGCACTGAGTGCTCCCTCGCGCACCCTCCCGCCTGCCCGACCGGCCACCCGCCCAGGAGCCCAGCAGCACCACTGGACCTCAGGGAATCCCCCCAGCACTCCAAAAGGTAAGGAGGCTGGGGGGATTACATTTTAAACAAAATGTGTTTGTGTGTGTGTGTTAGTGTGTGTGTGTGTGTGTGTTTGTGTGTTTGTGTTAGTGTGTGTGTCAGTGAGTGTGTCTGTTATTGGGTGTGTGTCTGCTAGTGAGTGTGTTACTGTGTGTGTCTGTTACTGAGTGTGTTTGATGTCTGTTAGTGAGTGTGTGTTTGTCAGTGAAAGTGTATGTTTTGTAAGTGAGTGTGTATGTATGTCTGTCGCTGAGTGTGTCTGTGTCAGTAAATGTGTGTGTCTGTTAGCTAGTGTGTATGCGTCTGTTCGTGAGAGTGTGTGTGTGTGTCTTCAGCATTTACCTTTCTCCAACGTCGGACTCCCTTGGCGCTGGGGATCCCTCCGCCTCTCAGCTCCGAATGCACACACGCGGCAAGAGGCGCGCGCGCGCGCATTTAAACCGCCCATAGGAAAGCATTACTCAATGCTTTCCTATGGACGTTCAGTGTCTTTCCACTGTGATTTTCACAGTGAGAATCGCGGAAGCTCCTCTAGCAGCTGTCAATGAGACAGCCACCAGAGGCTGGATTAACCCTCAGTGAAACATAGCCGTTTCTCTGAAACTGCTATGTTTTCAGCTGCAGGGTTAAAACTAGAGGAACCTGGCACCCAGACCACTTCATTGAGCTGATGTGATCTGGGTGTCTGTAGTGGTCCTTTAAGTGTGTGTGCATACCGCGGTCGCGGGGTCGCAGCCCTGCAACCCCTGCGACCAGGTGCCCACCGCCATCTGTTGCGGCCCCAACCCGCGCCGAGTAAGCGCGGGGGCGGGCCCATGGATCAATTTTCGCACCAGGGCCCCATGGTTCCTTGAGAGGCCCTCATGATCACATGGACAGCATAGCTGTCCATTGCAATGCCAGCAGGAGGAGTGCCTGTGATGACAGGCACTCCCTCTACTGTCTGCAAAAAAAATAATTAAAGTTTAAAACAGTGTAAAATAACATATATATTTAGATCATATATATGTATTATTTATATATATAAAACAAGAGGGGGTTGGCTGCACTCACCTTATATATATGATCTAAGTATATATACATATACACACATACACTGTCTACGTGTATTTTAATATTAATATATATATAATTATAAATATATATTAATATCAAAATACACGTACAATATTGATTGAAAAAATTTAATTAAAAAAGTAATAAAACATACATAGAATATATATATGTAAATTCGTTCTAACTGTATTTTAAAATTAATATATATATTGATATCAAAATATATGTAGAACAAAATAATATATATCTATATACATAAGTATATACGTATATATCACTATATATATATATATAACTAAAATAATTTTTAAAAATTATATTCATATATATATATACACACACACATATAAAAATTCTACGTATATATTTATGTAATAATTTTACATAATTAGGTAATTTTAATAATTACAATAAGCAGGACCAGTCTGGCAACGCAAGCCAAAAGTCCAGGGAATTTAATTTGCAAGCACTATATTTAACCCTGTAACTTTCCAAGACACCATAAAACCTGTACATGGGGGGTACTGTTTTACTTGGAAGACTTCGCTGAACACAAATATTAGTGTTTCAAAACAGTAACATGTATTACAACGACGATATTGTCAGTGAAAGTGAAATTATTTGCATTTTTCACACCCAAAGGACAATGGACAATATAATTGTTGTGATATGTTTTATGGTTTTGAAACACTAATATTTGTGTTCAGCGAAGTCTCCCGAAGATAACAGTACCCCTCATGTACAGGTTTTATGGTGTTTTCAAAAGGTAGAGAGTCACATATAAGGCTTGCGTTTCAGTTTTTCCACATTGATATTCGCCAGATTGGTTACGTTGCATTTGAGACCGTACGGTAGCCCAGGAATGAGAAATACCCTCATAATGGCACACCATTTGCAAAAGTAGACAACCCAAGGAATTGCAAATGGGGTATGTCCAGTCTTTTTTAGTAGCCACTTGGTCACAAACACTGGCCAAAATTGACGTTCATTAGTTTTTTGCATTTTCAAATATTAACACTAACTTTGGCCAGTGTTTGTGACCAAGTGGCTACTAAAAAAGACTGGGCATACCCCATTTGCAATACCTTGGGTTGTCTACTTTTGCAAATGGTATGCCATCATGGGGGTAATTCTTATTCCTGAGCTACCATACTGTCTCAAAGGCAACCCCTTAAGGACTGAGCCAAATGTACACGTTGTGAACAAAACAAAATGTAAACAAAACCTGGCATTTGCGCTATATGTCTGTCCAACCGTAATTCACCTCTTTCATATTATTTGCACCCACCCTTATTATATATAATTTTATTCAGGGGAAACAGGGCTTTCATTTAATATCAAATATTTAGCTATGAAACATAATGTAATATGAAAAAAATGGGAGAAAATAAGATATTTTTTAGTTCTTCATTACATTTTAACTGTCAATGTCATAATACTGTTTCCTTTTACTGCAATAAAATACACATATTTGTATTCAGCAAAGTCTCACGTGTAAAACAGTACCCCCTATGTATAGGTTTTATAGTGTTTTGGGAAGTTACAGGGTCAAATATAGCACATTACATTTGAAATTGAAATTCGCCAGATTGGTTACATTGCCTTTGAGACTGTATAGTAGCCCAGGAATGAAATTTACACCCATAATGGCATACCATTTGCAATATTAACCCCTTAAGGACCAAACTTCTGGAATAAAAGGGAATCATGACATGTCACACATGTCATGTGTCTTTAAGGGGGTAGACAACCCAAGGTATTGCAAAAGTGGCTACTAAAAAAGACTGGACATACCCCATTTGCAATACATTGGGTTGTCTACTATTGCAAATGGTATGCCATCTTAGGGGTAATTTTCATTCTTGGGCTACCATAGGGTCTCAAAGGCAACGTAACCAATCTGGCATATTTTCATGTGAAAAAAATGAAACACAAGCCTTATATTTGACGCTGTAACTTTTGAAAACACCATAAAACCTGTACATGAGAGGTACTGTTGTACTCGGGAGACTTCGGTGAACACAAATATTTGTGTTTCAAAACAGTAAAAAGTATCACAGCAATAATATCGTCCGTGTAAGTGCTGTTTGGGTCTGAAAAATGCAAAAAACTTCACTTTTACTGGCGATATCATCGTTGTAATACATTTTACTGTTTTGAAACACAAATATTTGTGTTCAACGAAGTCTCCCGAGTAAAACAGTAACCTCCATGTACAGGTTTTATGGTGTCTTGGAAAGTTATAGGGTTAAATATAGTGCTAGCAAATTTAATTCCCTATACTTTCGGCATGGGTTGTCAGGCAGGTCCCGCTAATTGTAATTAATTAAGATACCTAATTATGTAAAAATATTACATAAATATATATGTAGAATATTATATATATATATATATATATATATATATATATATATATATACACGTATATATGTGTATATATATATATAATTTAAAAAAAATATATTTGTACATAGGTATATTTATAGTGATATATATGTATATATTTAAGTATATAGATATATATATATTATTTCGTTCTACGTGTATTTTGATATAAATACAGTTGCAAGAAAAAGTATGTGAACCCTTTGGAATGATATGGATTTCTGCACAAATTGGTCATAAAATGTGATCTGATCATCATCTAAGTCACAACAACAGACTGTGAATGTTTACATGGTGTGTTCAAGAAAAACATGGCAACATTTAATTCTTTGTGTGTTATTAGTTTAAAGGACCACTATAGTGCCAGGAAAACATACTCGTTTTCCTGGCACTATAGTGCCATGAGGGTGCCCCCACCCTCAGGGACCCCCTCCCGCCCGGCTCTGTAAGGGGGAAAGGGGTAATAACTTACCTTTTTCCAGCGCTGGGCGGAGAGCTCTCCTCCTCCTCTCCGCCTCAGATCCGACCCGCCAGCTGAATGCGCACGCGCGGCAAGAGCTGCGCGCGCATTCAGCCCGTCGCATAGGAAAGCATTTACAATGCTTTCCTATGGACGCTTGCGTGCTCTCACTGTGAAAATCACAGTGAGAAGCACGCAAGCGCCTCTAGTGGCTGTCAATGAGACAGCCACTAGAGGATTAGGGGGAAGGCTTAACCCATTCATAATTATAGCAGGTTCTCTGAAACTGCTATAATTATGAAAAAATGGGTTAACCCTAGAAGGACCTGGCACCCAGACCACTTCATTAAGCTGAAGTGGTCTGGGTGCCTAGAGTGGTCCTTTAAGCAGACTGTGATTGTCTATTGTTGTGACTTAGATGATGATCAGATCACATTTTATGACCAATTTGTGCAGAAATCCATATCATTCCAAAGGGTTCACATACTTTTTCTTGCAACTGTATATATATATTAATATCACAGTACAGTTAGAACAAAATAACACACATCTATATATTTTTTAATTATTTTTTTTAATTATTTTTTTAATTTAATTTTTTAACGTATTTACATTTTAATATTATATATAAATATATATATATATATATATATATATATATATAACAATAATTATATATATATTTAATCAGTATCAGTCTACGTGTAATTAACCTCGCAAGGACCTCACTCTCACATGGCCGGAGGAGGCAGGATCTGCCGCGGGGGACTCCCTGGAATCCCAGGTGAGTCTCCCCAACCGCGTTTAGAGCCGCTTAGAATAGGGCGTAATAGTACGCCCTCCGGTTTTAAGGGGTTAACCCCTTCAGGACGGAGTCAATAGTACATGTTCTGATCAAAACAAAATGTAAACAAAAACTGGTATTTGCGCTATATGTCTATTCAACTGTAATTCACCGCTTTCATATTAAAGGACCACTATAGTGCCAGGAAAACATACTCGTTTTCCTGGCACTATAGTGCCCTGAGGGTGCCCCCACCCTCAGGGACCCACTTCCACCGGACTCTGGGGAGAGGAAGGGGTTAAACTTACCTCTTTCTCCAGCGCTGGGCGGGGAACTCTCCTGCTCCTCTCCTCCTCTCCAGCTGAATTCTCATGCGCGGCAGGAGCCGCGCACGCATTCAGCCAGTCCATAGGAAAGCATTCACAATGCTTTCCTATGGACGCTGGCATCTTCTCACTGTGATTTTCACAGTGAGAAGCACGCAAGCGCCTCTAGCGGCTGTCAAGAGACAGCCACTGGAGGCTGGATTAACCCTATTATAAACATAGCAGTTTCTCTGAAACTGCTATGTTTATTTAAAAAAGGGTTAACCCTAGCTGGACCTGGCACCCAGACCACTTCATTAAGCTGAAGTGGTCTGGGTGCCTAGAGTGGTCCTTTAAGTGCACCCACACTTATTATATATCATTTTGTTGAGGAGAAACTGTGCTTTAATTTTTCATGAACTATTCATATTTTAAACATAATTTATTATGAATAAAATTTAAAAACCTGTGAGAAATTAAGATTTTTAAAAAAAATTGTAGACATTTTAGCTGTAAATGTCATAATACCGTTAGCTTTAACTGCAAAAAAAACACATATTTGGATTCAGCAAAGTCTCACGAGTACAACAGTACCCCCCATTAGCAGTTTTTACGGTGTTTTGGAAAGTTAATTCTACATCATTCTAAGTGTTTTAACATTAATATATGTACTTATATTAACATTAAAATACATACGGTATCACGTTACATATATATAAGATGTATATATATGTTAGATATATAATATATATATATATTTTATATATATTTATAAATACATTTCTTTTATAACATGTTTAATGCTTTTTTTTTTTCTACTTTCCCGACAGCAGGGGGACTGTCTGACATTTCAGACAGTCCCCCTGCTGGCAGATCAACAGCCAACTATAGGGGGCCATGTGATCGCTCTTTGAGAGCGATCACATGGCCCCCCCAGGGGCCTCATTTGCCGGGGGAGGGCTGCCTGTGCTGTCAGGCAGCCCTCCAGAAGAGGATTGCGGCAGAGGTAAATCCACCGGAGCACATGGGGCTGAAAGCCGTTACGGTGTTCTATGCCGCCGCAACTACTTTAAAGCCCATTTAATGCGGGACTGTATAGAACGTCGTAACGGCGTTAAGGGGTTAAAACAAGAATAATAGAACGGTGGTGAATAAGGTATCTTTATATATCTCCCACACCTATGACCATTAGCCTAGCCTACTTAATATTTATAGTTGATTATGGATTATATTTCCAATCCGACCTTATGGTGGGGAACAGTATAGAGATACTTACCTTCCGTACATTAAAGTGACACTAGAGTCACCAGAACAACTACAGCTTTTTGAATTTGTTCTGGTGAGTATAATCATTCCCTACAGGCTTTTTGCAATAAACACTGGCATTTCAGTGAAAGTGCAGTGTAACGGCACCCCGGGCATAAAAGGGTTAAACCAACGTTTAGAAGATCTTCCCCTTCCAGAGACACAGGCACAGCTACTGTAGACACCCATACACCGAACCGGAGAAGCATATGAATTCTCTCAAGCATATGAATGCTGTAAACAGCCGAATAGGAAAAACCATCCGAATAGGTTTACATTCCTAGCAGTCAAACTGGAACAGCATACAGTAAATCCCCCCAAGAACGAGACAAAGCTCCGTGTTGAGGGTCAAACAGTGAACAGACAAAGCTGTGGGTTTATTGTTCTTATATACACATTAGTACCACCCACAGGGTTTTGGAAAACAACCAATAAACAAGTACAATACACTCAGACATTCCCACACAAAATCCTCCCCTCTGCCTGTGATACAATTACCTTACACAATGGGTAATGTAATTATAACAGCCAGAGAAATACAGTTTTTCCACATTATTCATAACTTGAAAAGTATGCATCACATTCACAGAATCAGCATACTCCAAATACAAACATATGTCAAAATCATCCAAATGGTTCAAAAGTTAGATTGTAGTCCTTTGTGACCAAAGGAAGCATGGCTTTTCTGCCCAAAACCAGTTCCACAGAGTATTCTATCCTGGAGATAATTGGGAAGTAATCCAATTATCTCCAAGGACAGAGGCAAAACTCCATTAAGCACATGGCAGTAAAAAGACAGTAAAATACAATAAAACACACAAGGTTACATTATTACATAAAATACAGACATGCAACATATCCCCAGATAGCTTAGGTCTGAGCACACATTATTACTGAATGGCACTCAGACTACACACATACAGTTCAATTGCAATGGAGCCAAAGTCTTTCCCATAGTCTTTCATTATACGAATGGACTCCATGTCATAGCTATCTGGGGTATCACCGCTCAAACAGGGCAAGCACCGAATGACCCAGCTTTCGTGTCTTTGCAGGGGAAAATGAAGCGTTTCAACATGGGGCCATAGTCTAAAGGGAGCAGGTGGGCAACCAGGCTTTTCCAATGCAATGTGGCGAGATTGCCCTCGTCACATGCAGTGTTTACATTACAGCCTAGGGATACCTCCACTGGCCACTCCTCAGATGGCTATTAGAGATGCTTCACTGCCATTCAGTGTCTCCACCCACTGCATGGAGACTGAAATTTCCTCATCAAGATGCATGGATTCAATAGAGCTCTGCCCTGAACTGCCTCCTTGAGGGTCTCAGCCAATCCTATGGGGAAGTATTGTGATTGGCTCAGAACAACACTTCTGATTATGTCAGCCAAGTAGGCAGATCGGGGCAGAGCCAGCAGCTGCAGACTTAAACAAATTTAAGAGTTTACTATATTTAGGTGGGCAGATGGTGGTTTTAACACTATAAGGTCAAGAATACACATTTGTGTTCAAGACCCTTTAGTGTTCCTTTAAGGATTCCTACCCACTATTTTTTTCTTTATATTCATTTTCATACACCTATTTTCACTTATTGGTAATAATATTTCTCTGACATTTACATCACTATTGGTGAAGATTATATTGACGTTTAAATTTCTCTTATCTCCAAACGATTCCTACCGACCTTGACACTGTTGGCATATTTCCCCCATCAACGATATATTAATTATTTGTCTTGGATTGCTATCATAACTTTATTACTGTTAGACATGTGTTATACATAGACTGGTATATATTTGGACCATGATCAATAATCTGCATGTGATTTCTAAGAGTGATACATGCATTTACTTTGAGGACATCGCTTATTACCTGGATGATCAGGTTTTCTGTCAACTGCAACCAGGGCCGTCTTTAAGGAGGGGCAAACGGGGCAGCTGCCCTGGGCCCAGTTACTCATGGGGGGCCCAAGGCAGCTGCCCCGTGGGCCCCGTCGCCTGCAATAAAAATTTATTTTTTTAAAATATTTCCCTACCTAATGGGCCCGCGGTGCTAGTATTGCGGCTGCACCGGGGACTGCACACTAAGGGGGCCCACCAGGTGGCCCATACCTTTAGGGCCACCCAGTGAGCATGTTCCAGCAGGGGTCCGGTCGGCACTGTGGCCCTTTAACAGCGCAACCGGGTCTTTGCTTAACGGCTGCATGGGAGGAAGTGACGTCCGCGAATCACTTCCTCCCACCTCAAAGACATCGGGCCGCGCGGGAGGCTGCTAGCCAGGATCCAGTGAGGAGGGGGAGCAAGGAGAGCCAGACCCCCAACTCCCAGCTACCCCAGCTAGCACACTGGACCCCAGGGAAGGAAGCCTCTTTCAAAGGTAGGAAACTGAAGAGTGTCTGTCTGTGTGTGCGTCAGTTTGTATGTCTGTCTGTGTGTCAGTTTGTATGTCTGTGTGTGTGTCAGTATGTATGTGTCAGTCAGTATATGTCTGTGTGTCAGTTTGTATGTCTATGTGTGTGTCAGTATGTATGTCTGTGTGTATGTCAGTATGTCTGTATGTGTCAGTTTGTGTGTCTGTATGTATGTCGGTGTGCCAGTCAGTATGTCTGTGTATGTGTCAGTATGTCTGTCTGTCACAGTGTCAGTATGTCTGTCACAGTGTCTGTGTGTGTGTGTGTGTGTGTGTGTGTCGGTGTGTATCTGTATGTTGTCAGTATGTATGTATCTGTGTGTGTGTGGCAGTGTGTATACCTGTGCATGTATCTGTATGTAGCCAATGTGTGTATCTGCATGTTTGTCAGTGTTTGTATCTGCATTTGTCAGGTTATGTATCTGTGTGTCTGTATGTTGTCATTGTGTGTGTCTGTGTATCTGTATGTTGTCAGTGTATCTGCGTGTGTGTGCGTGTGTGCATCTGTGTGTCTGCATGTGTGCCAGGTTGTGTGTCTGTATGTGTGTGTGTCAGTGTGTGTAAATGTGTCTGTATAGCTGCATCTGTATGATTGTGTATATCTGTGTATCTGCAAGTGTTTCTGTGTGTGTATGTGTATCACAGTGTGTGTGTGTTTGTGACAGTGCATGTGTATTTGTGCATACATCTCAGCATTCAACACTACACGCAAATACACACCTGCATTCAAACTTCAACACTACATATAAGCACACCTCTTTTTTTAAACAACAAAATTATATATAAACACACCAGTGTATTCATAAACCAACACTACACATAAATGCATACTTGCATTTAAATGCCATCTCCACATACAAACACACCCCTACATTCACACAAACATACTCCATACAAAAACATGCTTACACTCAAACACACAAATACTGCTCAGTGCTAAATATAACCCTGCATGCATGGGAAAATGGTAGCGCCCCAGCTGTCAAAGCATTGTTGGAGTTGCATGACAGATGGGGATCTACCTTTTGCCCCCTCTTGCCCAAAATAATTCATGCACCAGAGCCCTCTCTACTTTACGTCCGCCTCTGCGTTGGGGTGGGGGGCATGATTGCATGCCAGGGAGGGGACGACCGGGTTCAGGGTGCCCAAGCAAATGTTTGCCCAGGGTCCAATCCATATTTAAGACGGCCCTGACTGCAATTGTAGATCCACAGGAAACATATAGGGATCTATATGCATGCATAGTATGATTACCTTGTAATGAATGATATACATAGTGACCACATAACCTCAAGATACATTTGAGATAGAAACACATATGTTTTTTTCTTGTAATGCCTTAAGTCCCCCAGAGGACAATTCCTGATTTTTTTTTAATGAATTGGGTATTATCACATATCTTTCAACCTTGGGCTATGGCACATACTATCCCATCATTTGATTGATGTCTCATGATGCCCACTATATATAGCTATGTGATGTATATATGAACATTGTTCATAAAGGAGAAAGAAGGGAAGTGAGAAAAGGAAAAATAATTTATTTATTTTGTGGGGGGGGGGGGTGGCAAAATCAAGCAGTTTTCATGTGACGAAGGTGCACAAATGCACATCGAACTTTACTTTATCTCTTTCTTTAGCACTTTAGGGTATCACTAATATGGTGTCCTTCTAGAAAGTTAACTTTTGTTTATGGCTATTCCTCCTATGTTTCAATAGTAGCTATGCGTTATTCCATTAACAGCTAGGATCTTGCGGAAAAGTAGGTCCCAGGTAATACACCTGAAGACTGAGGTATCGGTGATGTCATGTAACTAGGTATTTGGATCCTGTGTTTAAGTAGGTCCCCGGTGTATACCTGCAGACTGAGGTATTCCCAGAACTTTCATCTATGTTCTCTCTGCATTAATATTTCGGATTCTATGGTTCAGTAGGTACCAGGCAATTTACCTGGAGACTGAGATATCTGTGATGTTATTTGATTAGGGATATAGGATGTGGGCTAGCTTTAAAATCTTAAGTAAATTATAATAAGACTGGGAATCTTTTCATTTAAAGTAACACTATTGGATCAGGAACACAAACATGTATTCCTGGCCCTATAATGCTTTTTAGCCGCCCTACCCCCCTCCCATTGTGCCCCTTAAATATAGCAAAAACACCTAATTTCCAGCGCCCCCAATCCACCTTCTTGGTTGACATAATCAGAATTGGTGATCTCAACCAATCATAATGCTTTCCCATAGGAAAGCATTGGATTGGCTGAGGTAATTAACTTTGATGATCTCAGCCAAGGAGGCAGAGACGGAACCAAATACAGCCCTGGTGAATCAGCATCTCCTTATAGAGATGCGTTGATTCAATGTACCTATATAGGGAAAGTTCAGGGTCTCCATGCTCTATCAGTGCTGCACACGTGCATTACTGCTCCAAGAAGCACATCTAGTGGCCATATGAGGAGTGATCAGTAGAGATATTCCTAGGCTTGTAATATCCTCTGAAAAGGCGGTGTTTACAGCAAAAAGCTTGCAGGAACTTATTATACTAACCAGAACAACTACAATAAGCTGTATCCCTTGTGACTATAGTGTTTCTATAAGATTGAGTACATGATACCAGAGATAATCTCTGTAATACTATTTTTCGTGGTAATTAACTGACCCATATTTCTCTTTGTAAATGCAAATGATAATCTCCCCTACATGAAATGACCCCTACATGAAAAAAGCTTCTTGAGTAGGGAGATGAACCCTTTCTAATCTTTAAAATTTAAGAGAGTATAACATTTTTATGTGTTTATGTTGCGGAATATCTTGTACATAATTTGTAGCTACAGTGTTAGAAAGTCTTGTGTGGAAAGAAATGCAAAAGATAGATATAGAGTTGTATTTTCTTATATATTTGAATGCATTATAATGAAGGTGTGGCAAAACTAGACACTAGAGACTATTAATGTATGAGTATGTGTGCATTCTTGCTAAGCCATAAAGATCACTGCAGGATGCTATTTGTATTTCAGGCGAATGAGGGCATTCGGATGCTGGCGGTAGGAAAACCCCAGCATTCATACTGTAGTTTCACGAACAGTGAGTTTAAACACTGTTCGTGAAATGAATAACATACCGAATGCACGACCACACACAGGGGGTCGTGTGGCGCCCATTAACCGATTGCAACATTGTTGCAATCGGTAATTAAGTGTGCTTCTAGGTGGACGTCGTTCGACTACCGACCACGCGGCGGTCGGCCATCTTGTTTCTTTTGTTAGCCCAGCGGTGTTTTGCCGTCGAGCGCCTGGAACTAAAAACGGCTACTCGACGGTGCGAACACCGCTGGACTTCCAGGCCGTTCGGGAACCCCGGCTGTTCGGTAGTTTATCCCCCTTTTAATAATCTGTATTTTAAACCTATGTTAGAAATAATGTGTATTTTGTGCGGCGTTCGGTTAGTTAGACTGGGAGCTGAGCGGTATTCTCACGAACTGTGCGCTCAGCCTCCAGCTATCTACCGAACGTCCATTCGTGTAAAACAAGTGAATATTAGTAAAATTATACATTTTAATGTAAAATGTAAGTTCTGCTGCACGGAGGGATAATCCCATTAACGGTATATTCCAGTGGGAGTATCCCTCTCGTCCAGCAGTGCATGATGGGAAAAATTTATGTGTTGGTCAGTTCCCCAAGTAGTCCCCTACTGTACAACCCCTGAAATGTCAGTAGGGAAACCCATTGCATGGGGAATCCCATAAATACCGTGACCTGAAAATAAACCTCAGTTGACCTCCAAGCTATGTGTCGTCTAGTTCTTGGGAGGAAGGGATTGTAACTACGCTACCTGGATTTTACCTGCTTTGTACCTGCTTAATTCTGTCTACCAGTGGAGATACCGTGGATAATACTACTACTCCGCTACAGAAGTGTTATGCTCTAGGCCAGTTCTGGATAGAAGTGTGTAAACTCGAAGTAGTTTCACCAACTTTTTTAACACTGTAGTTGTCCTTTAACAGAAGGTTTAAACAATGATTTCCAGCCATAATTATTTTTCTTTTGAATTGGGGTAGCCTGCTTCCATACACAGACTGATTAGCTTCCACCTAATTATATATGATAATAATTTTGCTGAATTTTATACTATTTATGTATTTTTCCCTCCAGATTTACTTGGGAAACACTATTCCAGAGTGGGCATGGATTTCCATCTTTAACTTGACCTGTAGAGCCATTCGTAAAAACTATTTTGCCAACATGAAATAAAGAAGATGGTCCTTCAGCAGAACAAGACAGATTCTCTTGTCTTGGCTCTGCGTTGCTAAGTAGATTTTGTTTATCTACCCTCAAAAATAAACTTGGTGAATGTTAGACACCCCTAACACTGTGTATGCCTTGTCTTTTAGCTATGTCGCATATAACATTAAATGTATGAAAACAAGATATAAAATACCCATTAGGGTACCTTAGTTGTTTTTAATTGTTCATAGTATGTAAGTGGTGATTTGTCTGAAGGAGTTACATTATATGATCATATATTGCATAAGCCTGCCACAATGTCAATGTACCCCATTCTTGGCAGGTCCTACTCTAGCAGCCTAATGCTTGCTCTTATGAGATTAATCCACTTACTTGGGAAATACTTCCTTACTGTGACTCTCTTCAAGTCAAGGTTAAATAGGGTCCTGGAATAATAGGGGTGCAAAACCAAGGAGTTGGCCTGGACTCCCAAATATATAAATGAAACCAAGAGGATTAATCTCATAATATGAGATTATATATATATATATATATATATATATATATATGATATTTGGTGTGTAATGTGGTGGAGCATGTATGTATTTATGTATGTATATGTTTGTATGTGTGTGGGTGAAGGTATGTGCATGGAGAGATGATGTGTGTGAGGGGTGCACTGTGTGTGTATGCAAAGGTGTACTCTGTGTTGGTAGGAGTGTACTGTATGTGGGGGTTCACTGCCTGTGAGGGTGTACTGTGTTCAAGGGGTGTAGAGTGGGATAGGGAGGAGCTTTACAATTTTTGCCTTAATAATTATTTACAAAACAAATAAAAATAATATTCCCCTTTACCTTATCTTACCTTGCAGGGAGGGGATGGCACAAGCAGATCCTGTACCCTGCCAGTACAGGGGAGGTCATGAGATGAGAGGTATCTCTCTTGCAGCTCAAGCAGTTACAGAGACTGACCCATACAAATCCACAGACATACACAGTCACAAATCCACAGACAGACCCATACACACACATACACTGCCACCCCCCACACACAGAGGGAACCACACACACACACACACACACACACAGACTGACCCATACACACAGACTGCTCCCCGACACAGACTGACACATACATAGACTGACCACCCCACATACACACTCACAGACTTACCCCCCCACACAGACTGACCCACTCCACACAGACTGACCCATGCACACAGACTGACCCATGCACACACACACAGACTGACCCACCTCTTACAAACTGACCCATAGACACAAACTGACCCCTCCCACACACAGACTGACCCCCACACACTCACACAGACTGACCAACACACATAGACTGACCCATACACACACAGACTGAACCCCTCACCCCCACACAGACTGATTCCCCCACACACAGTCTGATCCATACACACACAGACTGACCCCACCCCCCACATACAGACTGACCCCACCATACACCCATACACACAGAGACTGACCCATACACACACAGACAGACCAACCCACACAAAGACTGAACCCCACCCCCCACACACAGGCTGATACACACACAGACTGACCCCCCCACACCCATTCACACACAGACTGACCCCCCCACATAGAGACTGACCCCACACCACACAGACTGACCCCCCACACACAAACTGAACTCCCCACCCTGACACATAGACTAATCCCCACACACACAGATCACTCAACACCCATACATACACAGACTGACCCACCCCACACAGACTGAACCCCCCACCCCCACACAGACAGATTCCCCCCACACAGACTGACTCCACCATACACCCATACACGCACAGACTGACACATACACACACAGACGGACCCACCCCATACAAAGACTGAACCCTACCCCACACACACAGGCTGATCCACCCACACAGACTGACCCCCCACACCCAAATAACACACAGACTGACCCACACACACACATAGACTGACCCCCCACACAGAGACTGACCCCACCCCACACAGACTGACCCCCCACACACAAACTGAACTCCCCACCCTGACACACACACAGATCCCCCAACACCCATACATACACAGACTGACCCACCCACACACACAGACTGACCCACCCCACACACAGACTAAACCCCCACCACCACACACAGACTGAACCCCCAACCCCACACAGACTGATTCCCCCCGCACAGACTGACCCATAGACACAGACTGACTCCACCATACACCCATACACACACAGACTGACCCACCACACACAGACTGACCCACACACATAAAGACTGACCCCACATCCATACACACACAGATTGACCCCCCACACATGGACTGACCCCTCCCACACACACAGACTGACCCATTCACACACAATGACTGACCACCCCACACCCAAACACACACAGACTGACCCCCACACACACAGACTGATCCCCCACACCCATACACA